TGCCTTTTGGCTGTGGTACTGGGAGAAGTGAGCAGGTGTGGAAGGAAGCGCCAGCTTCTCTAGGGGGAAGAAGAGACTCAGTAGAACTTGTTTTCCCCTACTCTCAGGACATGGTCTGGGACATCCAATATAAGACCGTCCGCTGGAGCTTCCAAGAATCTTTAGAGCCACCCCAGGTGGTTCAGGTTCGCTGTTCAAGTATGCTGAACCAGGGCAACGTGTACGGCCAGATCACCGTCCGCATGCACACCCGTCAGGTAGAGGCACCAGCCTGCTTTCCTCCCGGCTTTTCGTCACTTTCAGGTTGGGCACCTGTCTCTGGGATTCTGGCCGCAGCTGCCCAGCACTGTGGGTTCACCGTGGTCTTCCTTGCCCTGTCACTACGCCCTTCCCACTGCTAGAAGTCAGCTCTGCTAAGACAGGTGCAAGCATATTCTTCCCCACCCTTCCTGGTATCGATTTCCTCCTTCCTCCTGTCTCCAGTCCAAAATAAATAAGTAAATAACCACACCTCTAAGAGTAAAGTATCAGTAGTTGATCAGTTAGTCTAGATTCAGAATGCAGAGATGATTTGTTTCTACCCATTAAAATATTTTGTTATGGCTGTTTTAAAAAAGTTTGTGTGCAGAAAAACAGAAACTGGCCCCGTCTCGGTTGGCTGGAGCGTCATCCCATACAACAACAAAAAGGGTGGTGGGTTTGATCCCCGGTCAGGGCACATACCGAGGTCACAGGTTCAATCCCTGGTTGGGGTGTGTACAGGAGGCAACCGATCGATGTTGTTCTTTCTCTCTCTCCCTCCCTCTCCCTTCCCCTCTCAAATCAGTAAACATGTCCTTGGGTGAGGATTAAAAAACCAAAACACACAGAAACAAAGCAACTCTGAGGACTAACAGGCCAGACATGCTCTCACCCTCACAGACTCTGGCCATCTATGACCGGTTTGGCAGACTGATGTATGGACAGGAAGGTGTGCCCAAGGATGTCCTGGAGTACGTCGTTTTTGAGAAGCACCTGACAAACCCCTACGGGAGCTGGAGAATGCACGGCAAGATCATCCCTCCATGGGCACCCCCTAAACAGCCCATCCTTAAGGTAAGGTAGCTTGCCTGGTGTAAGAGAGCTGAGGCCCACCCTGACTGGTGTGGCTGAATGGGTTGGGCATCATCCTTCGAACTGAAAGGTCCCCAGTTTGATTCCTGCTCAAGGCACATGCATGGGTTGTGGGCCTGCGAGAGGCAACAGATCAATGTTTCTCTCATGCATTGATGTTTCTCTCCCTCTTTTCCCCTCTCTCTAAAATATAAATAAATAAAATTTTTAAAAAAGAGAGAGCAGTGCCTCCACTAGTAGCATCTTAAGCCAGTCCTGTTGGGCCCCACCTAGTGGAGAGAGGTGGTGATGCAGCATCACGGAAGGGGAATCCTCCTATTAGGGTTGGGCATGAAGGTGAGGGTGATCTTTTCTGCGTGAGCCGTGAGCCGTGGGCTTGGGTGAAAAATAACTCAGCTTCCTGTTCTTTCAGACGGTGATGATCCCTGGCCCCCAACTGAAACCGTGGGAAGACTATGAAGAGCTGCAAGGAGAGGCTCATAAACCTCAGCTAGCCTGAAGGCAGAAGTGATTCCTGGGGTGAAGTGTGGGTGATGAGGTGGCCGGGATCTGTGAAGTCACGCATCTCCATCATGCTGTTGGAAGAACCGCCTTTGTTCTCTCCTCTCGTGCTGGGGTCTTTCCAGCAGCCTCAGCCTCGGTACCCACAGCTGAGGGCGAGGCCCGGATGGGGGGCTCCTATGCACAGTCCTGGACCCACTTACTCTTTTTTAAGTTTTATACCTGCCTTCCGGGCCTAGATGAGAGACACTTGGTTTCAAAGAATGTCTGACAGTTGTCTTTCCCGTAGCAGGGGCTGTCAGGAGCAAACTAGTAGACTTTTCTTATCACAGGACAGGCATCAGAGTTTGAAGTAAAACAGTCTCAAGTGTTTTGGATCATTTGTGGTGGGTTCTGTCCATGTTCCCTGGTTCAGGTTAGACGCAGACCGGCCTCCAAACGGCAGAAATGGAAGACAGGATTAATTGTGAGCAGCGTGACTTCCGGGAAATGCAGACTTTGGGAAAATGGTGTTTATAAGAGATTTAAGAGGATCTTTTGTCGTACACTGGCTCACTGAATCCGCATTTGTATTTCACAGAAGACTATAAATACAAAGAAACAATTTGTCCCCCAGCCTTTGGATTGTGTTCTTAATTATCAGCTGCTTCGTGGAGTGATCTAGAAAGCGTGGGGGAAGGCAGGGGCCGTGGAGAAGTTCATAGGCTTGGGCGATCCATCTGTAAGAGTTGATTCCCTGACTTCTGGCACCTTTTAGAGACAGCGACCATTCAGCCCAACGCTGGAAAGGCAAAGGTACCAGCATATGGACCCATGTAGAGTGAAACAGCCCAGGCTCCCGTGGCTGGGCTGTCAGAAGCGATGACAAGGGAGATCGCTCTGTCCCTGCAGCCAGCTTGGCTCACAGCGCTGTTGCTTTCGTCAGCCCAGTGCGGCCTTCCCGTGAGAAATAGGATCTTAATGCTCATACTTTCTATTTCTCAAGCCTAGAATTTCGTTTAAGGAGTCTATATAAGTTAGGTTAAGGCTTAATTTGTTCTGTCCTTGTGCTGAAAGAAGAGCCCAGAGAACCCGGAATCAGGTGGAGACTAGGCTAACTCCTCCGTCTCTCTCCAGCTGCCATCCCAGCAAAGCCGCGAGCAGACCGGGCCTCGCCGGGGGAAGGGCCGTCCGTGCTGCGGCTGCTGAGCGCTGACCGTGGGAACGAGCAGCGCGTGCCCGGGAAAAGGGCAGCACTGGTGGGCAGTCCAAAGCAGCCACTCTCATCGTGCTGCTTAGTTTCAACCCCTTTGGCTTAAAATGTACATCATTTTACAGCCCCAGTGGAGTTGGGTCCTATCTTATTTGTGTGAGTGTGGGATTAAGGCAAAATGAGATGGCAAAAAAGTGTTCTGAGCAGGATCCACAGCCGTAAAGAGGAAAGGTGGGTAATCCGGGCTGGGTAGGGAAGCAGAGAAGTAAAGCACACTTACTGGACAGGCGATACATTGATTTCTCGGAGTCTGTGGCAACAGCGCTTTAAATAAGCTGATTCACCCCACTCCCCCAGATCTGTCTCCTGGGTCTCTAGATAATCCTCTGTGGCAGCTAAGCAATAGCTGTTGCCAGGGAGCCAGAGGGTAAGTGCAATTTTCATTTCCCTGGGGGATCAGATCCAGCCGAGGGAAAGGCCCAGACACAGAGACCGGCTACAAGGGCCAGGCAAGAGACCATCGGCGGTGCCAGCCACGGAGCTGAAGTCCCGGAGGCTGCAGTGTGGTGACCTTGGGCTCCAGAGCAGGCATTGTTTTTCTTCCTGTTCATGTTTAAAAACATTGAAAAAAAAATCACTGTAATGAATACGCTAGAACTAACTGCCAAGAAAAAGCATTATTTTTTTCCCCCAAGGTTTATTTCACAGCAGTGAGTACAGGGACAATGTTTTTGTTCCCAGCTAGACCAGACCTGATGGGATTGTTCTGAGGTGCCAGTTAGCGAAATTTGCATTGGCACGGAAGCCGTGGGGTTAACCAGCCAGAGCCCAGAGCAACAACACACTTCTTACTTCCCTGAAAGGCCAGGGCAAGGGACCTGGGTAAGTGCAAGGGCCCAGACACGGAAACAAGGGTATCTAGTCCCTGCAAAAGCGGGTTACTCCATTCCTTTTCCTCCTCTTTGGGACCAGAACGTGTGCTACTTTTTCTGTGATGTGCTGCATCTGCCCGCAGCGTTCACATGCGGACTCGTTTCTTCCCCCTTGGGTGTTTGGTCTATTTGGCCTTTCCTCCTCGTAAATGGCATCAGTGTCCAGTTAGCAGGCGGGTTTCCCGCTGTCTTTAGTGCCTCTCCCAGGTCTGCCATGTTTCGCCTGCTTGTCCCCACCCCTGCTCACCCCTGCCAGTCCTGGGACTTCTTTGACCAATGTTTTTCTCTTTCATTTCCCTCTGGTGGTGTCATCTAATTCCAGCACTCTGTTATCTAGGATTGCTTAAGTAGGGGTAGCCTGAACTGACTTGGGAGAATAGAGCCAAGCTAAGACCAAGGGAGAGCTCCCTGAGAAAGAGGCTTTGTGTGTACGCGATGCCCCTTCCCCGGCCCTCAGGCCTCCGACCTGCCCTGTGGCACTGCTCCTTCTGAGGGCGGCCCCAGTGCTGGCTGCGAACAGCACCTCCTTTCTTTCCCGGGCTTCTCGGATGGAGACCGACGCGGGCCTCTCGTTACTGAGCAGGTGATTTGGACTGGTTCTCGCCTCAGAACCAGAGATTCCTCCTGGCTCCAGTTGCATCGACAGCAGAGAGCGGTCTCTTTAATGACAGCATTGACAGACGAGGAGGGGGAGAGAGAGCCGGTGAGGTGAACTCTGGAGACTGGCAAAGGTGGGGACAGGAAGAAGGGGAGGCTGTCGGAAAAAGCTAGCAAGAGGCAGGCTACTTAACCCGAAAGGCAGGGTGTCTGGAAGGGAAAAGCCGACCTCGGCCAGCATGGGGAGGGCCTGGACTGATTGCCTTGCCTTCCCTGCTCTGTCTCCAGTCCTGCTCTGGGTGCCAGGTGATAGGGGTGTGAGAGATGGGCTCTGCTTCGGTAGTCGGGCGGGGCAGGTGAGGGTCAGTTAAGCAGACACTGGAGATCCAAAGTCAAAATGACAAGATCTTGAAGGCATTCCAGGTATGACTTTTGAGCTATTTATTTTTTTAAGATTTTACTTATTTTTAGAGAGGGGAGAAAGAGGGAGAGAAACTTCAGTCAGTTGCCTCACACAGGCCCCCAACAGGGGACCTAGCCCAAAACCCAGGCACGTGCCCTGACTGGGGATTGAACCACCAACCTTTCAGTTCCCAGGCCAGCACTCAATCCACTGAGTCACACCAGCCACACCTTCTGAGCCATTTAGGTTTTTCCTTTTATTTATCTTGAATTAAGTGGCTTCCTAAGCTTCCTATGGTGACCATAACCTGTGACCCTCAGTTCCTATGTAGCCATTGCCTTGCATGATTTCGTTTCTTCTCAAAAAAACAACAACAAAAACATCTTCTTTGTAGACTGCAGACAACAATAAGGTCTCCCTATAAGAAAATGTGGTTGGGGCATTGCTGACCTCTTTTCGTCCCCAACTTGGCTTTCCAAGTGAGTGTCTAGACACGGATGGCTTGTGCTGAATGCCCCAGCTGGACAGGAGGGTTCCTCAGAAGCCGAGGGCCTAGGCTCTGTTCCCTACCGCAGGAAGAACTGGAAGTGAAGAGAGGGTGCAACTTCCTGTCGGGGGTCGAGCTGCACCCTTCTTGTGTAATTTGTCTCTGACCTTCCCAGAGACCAGAAGTGGCCAGGCATCTTTGTTTCAGCTCTAGGACTTGGGAAGGAACCTTGGCTGTTGAAAGCCAGCCACCCGATGTTTGACCTCACCCCAGTTTAAACTGGGAATCATTACTCCCAGTCCCAGGGATAAACAGTTGGAGGGGCGAGTTCTTCATGTGGAGCTTTGGAAGCCTCTTCTCCTTGGTCTTCAGTTAGGGAAGAAGAATTCTGAGCCTCGGCCTCTTGGAGACTTGGACCTGGGGTTACGCTGGTCCTTGGCCCAACTCCTGAAGGTCCTTGGAATTCTCTGAAATCTCCCAGAATAAAAGAACCGGTTGGCTCACTCACCTTGGGGCGGGGGCTTTTGCTTTCTGGAAGGAAGCAACCCAGAGGCCTTTGGACCGAAAGGCATGGCGGGTTCTCAGGGTCACCGGGGGAAAATATTTCGGTCCGAGTTGCTGTTAAAGCCAGGAGGCCAGATCCCTCAGGTGGGGCTCCAGGTCCCCCCCAAGGACAGATGTCTGCCATGGTGCCCTTTATGCTATTTCCTTCTGGATCTGTGACTTCCCACTGGCACAGCTCTGCCATCCTGCCCCCTGTACTACTTGCCCCGTGGGCACTGACTGTGGCTTGGTCTGCGTCCAGAGCATCTGGCTGGGGGAAGAGCGGCCCCAGACCCGTGCCTTCCCGGGGGCGGGCAGTTCCCTGCTCCCCGCTGCCCTTTGCCGCTGCTTTTGAGAAGTGTTCTTCAGTCCCTCCAGACCCTGCCTTTTGAAGGAGCAGCTCTCCCTGCCCTGGGGGCTTTCTCTCCACCGCCTGTTCCAGGCCACCTTCCTCCACTTCTGCTTCACTTGCGTCCCCAGGGCAGACTTCCGCTCGCTGGGCTGAGGGCACCTCTACTGCTTCCCACGGACACACTTCTGCCACCCTGGCCTCCACATTGCCTGCTGCCTCCGGAGTCCCGTTGCCTCTGTCAGAAGCTCGTGGGTCTGGCTGTGGAGACAGACCTCCACCGTCTTGGCTGTCCCAGGGACACACGGCCTCCCGTTTCCTGTCTGCCTGCTCTGGCTTTCTCTGAACTGCCCCAACTTTGGGCTCTGGTTTGTCTGAGGCTCTCCCCTCGCCCCCTTTCCCATTCCGTATGGACACTCCTTCTTCAGGGAGCCTTTCAGTCACCTCCCAGGGACAGACCTCCGCTTTGGCGCTGCCGTTAGGCCGATGAGCGTCTGGGGCAGGAGCGTCCCATGGGCACAGCTCGGCGCGCCCGTCCCCAACGCCAACCTGTGTCTGAGCACCAGCTCGCGGACGGCCGTGGCAGTGACTCCCGGGCTGGGAGGAAGAGACCCCTGGGGCCGTGCTCTCCCGTGGACAGACAGACTGTAGCTCATTTTCTGCTTTTCTCCCATCTGCAGCAGGGCCTCCTGCTTCTGAAGACGGAGCTCTTTCTTGGGTTACCTGTTCTTGGAGGGAACCCATTTTGGGGTCTTGTATCATCAGGTCCCCTTTCCCTGCCACCTCATCACTGACTTCCACGGAATGCTCCTCCACCCCTTTGCTCCTCATGCCGCCGAAGGAGCCCGAGACCTCGGAGGCCCGGGCACAGGGTCTCCTCAGGTCCTCCTCCCAAGGACAGACAGCTGCCTGCTGCTGACTCAGTCTCATCCCTCCTCTTGATAGGCCTTCCAGGGAGCCGAGTGTCCCCCTTTCTGGAGTTTGCTCCCTCTGCCCTGCTGCTGAACCGTTCCCCTCCTCTTGCTCCAGACCCTCCCCAGGAGCTCCTTCAGTCACCTCCCAGGGACAGATCTTGGCCCTTTCACTGGCAGACGCTTCCTCCACTTCCCAGGGGCACACCTCAGCCGGCCTGCGCCCCGCAGGGCCCGGTTCCTGGAACCCAGCCTTCGGTCGGTCAGTGCGTGCAGTGCCCAACTGCCGAGAGCTGTCCCCTGGACCCACCCTGTCCCCGGGACAGGCCGCCTCCCACTCCCGGGCCGGCCTCCCTGGCTTCTTCGGAGCAGTGACAGCTGTCCAGCCGGGCTCAGAGTCTGCAGGATCCTTTTCTGCAACGTTGGGCGATTTCCTCACGGCCTCCAGTCCCGAAGCCCGTCCCTCCCCTGCTCCGGCAGTCGCCTCCCAGGGGCAGACCTCTGCCTTCTCCGCAGACAGTCTGTCCTCCACGTCCCACGGACAGATGGCAGCCCTTTGGCTTCCCGCCCCACCTGCCACCTGGAGACTGGCCTCGGGTCTGTCTATGTCTCGAGGTGGTGGGGGAAAGCCGCCAGGGTCCACACTCCCCCAGGAACAGGCTACTTCCTGCCCTTGGAGCTGTCCTTCAGGCTTTTCCCGAGCTGTGACATCTTTGATTCCTGACGTTTCAGGCATTTCCTCCTTGTCCTTTTGGGGTTCTTCTCCTTTGGGTGCCTGTCTCGACATCCAGTCCTCTGTGCTCTCGTTTCCCTCCCAGGGACCGATTTCTGCTTTGGCAGGTGCGGTTGCCTTTACCTCTGGCCTGAGGTCTTCCCGCGGACAGACCTGCGTGGCTCGGCTTCCTCCATCGCTGAGGAGTCGGCCACCAGCTCTGGGTGAGGAATTGTCCACACATGGGCTGGAGGGCCCACAGTCTATGCCCTCCCGGGGGCACACGGACCCCTCCCGTGCACTGGGTGTCTGCACTGCCTTCCCAGTTTGTCCCCCCATCTCTCCAAGGAGCCCTTTTCTGGAGGCTTGCCCCTCTCCTTGGAGAGCTTCTCCGCCCACCCCCTGACGCACCACCTCAGCACTCAGCTCCCAGGGACAGACCTCTGCCTTCCTGAGGGCGGGAGCCTCTCCTGCCTCCCACGGACACACCTCCGCAGGGCCCCCCGAGCCCTGGGGGGCTCCCAGGGCCTCAGTTGGGATTGCTAAGGGGCCGCGGAAATCAGTGCTCTCCCACAAACAAACAGACTCCAAGTCTCTGCCAGGTTTCTGTTCTTTCCAGAAGGTGGTTTTCTTGGGGGCTTTCTGCTTTTCCTGGGCAAGTTTCTTCACTCCCTTATGGGCCGGTTTCTCCTTCTCTCCTTCACCTTCCTCCCAAGGACAGAGCTCGGCCTTGGCGAAGTCAGGCGTACCAGCTTCCGGGCCTGTGACTTTCTGCGGACACCTCTCCGCCTCTCTGACCTCCACGCTGCCCCCTGGCTCCGACCTGCCCTGGGTTCGCTCAGAGTCCCGAGGGGCTGGCCGAGGGGACAGGCCCCTGGGATCGGCATTCTCCCAGGGACACACCGCCTCCTGCCCCCTGCCCAGCCTTTCAGGCTTTTTCTGAGCAACGGCAGCCACATGTCTGGGCTCTGATTCTTCTGGGGCTTTCCTTCTGTCTTCTTGGGAGTCATCTGGGTCTTGTCTCAATGCCCCGCTCCCGAGGCCTCCTTCACTCACCTCCCAGGGGCAGATGTCAGCCTTGTTACCGGCAGGCAGACCCGTTTCTGACGCGGCAACCTCCCAGGGGCACACCTCTGCCACCCAGCAGTCAGCACTGCCCGCGGGCTGCGGGCCAGCTCTGAGCCGTTCCTGCCGCCCTCCGGGGGCTTCTTTGGCTCGCTCAGCATTTCTGTCCTCAACCGTGCCCTGCCTGACCTGCCTCGGCGTGGCAGGCCCTGTTTTACCTGCTCTCTCAACACTGCCCTCCCCTTGACCCTGGGGTGTCCTCCTGCCTCCGTCGTCTTGTTCCCTGCTGCCCTCCTGGTGACAGACGCGGAGCATCCTGCTGGTGTGAGCATTCTGCTGGTTCTGCAGGGACTCCTCGTCTTCGCAGGGGGCCAGGGCCGCCTGCTTACTCACCGCCTTGCGCCCGCCCAGCCTGGGGGATCTGGGGCACGCACCCACTCCCTCTCCCCCAGCTCTGCCCTTCTCCCCCTCGGGACTCCCCTCCCCGCTCTCCTTTTCCCTGTGTGTGCTCCGGGAGCGGGTCAGAGCTTTGATAGCCAGCCCCAGGCTGCGCACGGAGCCCTGCTGAACAGGGGTCTTGAGGCTGTGCGATTTAGGGAAGATCTTGGACTTGTCTTCCCCCACGTCATCAGTTTCCCCCTGGAGACACCTGTCCTCCGTGTCCATCCCATTCTCCCCAGCACGCTTTTTCTCCACTGCAACCGAGAGGGCCCTCCAGAGCCTGGCGCGAGCCGGGGCAGGGGAGTGGCTGCCTCGCTCTGGCCCCGACGAGCCTTCTTGTGCCACATTTTCTTTCTTGACTGGCAGTTCTGCATTCTCCCAGGGGCAGATGAAGGTGAGAAAGCTGGGGCTTTGGGGGGTGACTGGGACTTGTGCTAGGGCAGGGACTGGGACCAGAACCGGGGCCGAAGCTGGTATCAGAGCCGGAGCTAAGGTGGGAGTGGGAGACAGCATCCTTGGTTCCCTCAGGCTAGCCCCGGACAGGGCTTTGGTGGGTGTGGAGAGCTGGTGCTGGATGGGTGGGTGGGGCAGCCTGCCCCCAGCCGCCTCCGGAAGCCGCCCAGAGGCCCAGGAGCTGTCCCTGCTGCGGCTCCTGGCAGGGGAAGGTGGGGCTGACAGAGGCGCCCCTCGCGCTGGCTCCAGCCTCCTGGCCGATGGCCTCTGAGCTGGGCTCGCCAAGGCCGCCTCTGCCTTCCTTCTCTCCTCTTGCTCCTTTGCCTGCCGATAGGTCTCCTCCAGGTAGGCCTGGCTGGCCACGAGCAGGGCCTTCTCACTGGAGCCAGCCATGACGCTGAGCGACTTCTGCAGTGAGGCGGGCCGCGCTCTGGGGAGCCTCTCTCCCACTGTCAGGTTGTGGGCACTGGCCGACCTGAAGCCCAGGGCGGGTGGCCCCTCCTCTGACTCCCGGCTCTCTGCCCGAGAGGTCCTCTTGGCCAGCTTCCTCCTGGGCAGGGAGTCGAGGAGAGGGGCGTCCCGCTCCCTGCGGGGGCTGCGGTCATAGGTGCTGTGGGACTTGCGCAGGGCCGGCGGCCCCTCGGGCTCCTGGAGGCTGGAGCTGAGCAGCCTGCGGCGGGAGGAGCTGGGCAGGCTGCCGCGGCCGGGGGAGCCCGAGTCCCGGGAGTGCTGCCGGGCCAGGGTCTCCGGGAACTCAGCCAGGTACCTGACCAAGGACCGGCCCAGGCTCTGGCGCCAGCTGCCCGGCTTCTTGGGCAGGTGGGGGTTGTTAGCAGCCATTTCCTTGGTCTTGTGGACCTCTAGCTGGGCGTAGAGTTTCTTCAGCTCGTCCTGGGGGCCGGGAGGAGCAAGGAGAGTGGAGCTGACATTGGGATGAACCGGCTAGTCGCCACCCCCTGGCTGCACCATTTCCCCCCTCAGCCCTTATTAAGACCATTTTCTCAGAGTGGGGGGATCTATTTCCCACCAAGCAGTGGGCCCTGCTCACTGAGCCCTGAGCCCCTCATTAGGGTTCCCTTGACTGTAACGCCTTCCCTAAGCAGAAAAATGAGAGTATGGACGCTCTCCTGATGTAAGACTCAGGGGGGACTTCCTTTTTCTAAGACAGCCAGGTCCAGGGAAAGGGGGTCCTGGTACGGAAGCCCTTGGTAGCCACTCACTGCCCGCGCTGCCTGCACAGCTGACACTAGAGTCACCACCTGCCCTGTGTGCTGGGAACTTGGGCTTCTTAGTCCGCCCCTTGTGATGCCCCTGCTGCATGCCGTGGGGGACATGGGGAATTAGAGCTCCGCCTTTGGGGTCTTTTCACTGGGGTTATGTGTGGCCTTCTTTACATAAAGGTGGGGAGGTAGCTCTGGGCCATGATAGACATTGGAGGGAGGCCCATCTCAGAGAAAGGGAAAGCTCGGAGCAGGGCAGCCGGCTCCCTGCCAGTCCCTGAAAGCAGACCCCAAACGGAGGCAGGGGGCGGTATCTACCCGGATGTCTCCAGGGTCCAGGCTGCGCTCGCTCCACGCCGAGGCAGTGCTGCTGTCGAAGTAGGAGCCCGAGCGCTGCAGGTCCAGCTCATCCTCATACACCTCGTCCACCATCTCCTCCCGGGGAGGCGCCCCCGTCTTCCAGAACTGGCCGGGGAAATGGGCACGATTGGGAAAAAGACTCTCTTTGCCTCCCTGTTCACGCCTCCTCCACCCGCCTAATGGAATACATCGGTCCTTCATGAATCTTCACCCCCTCTCGGATTCAGAATTCCGGGGTCCAAAGACTTTCGCTTCCTCTCATCTTTCCTGATCTTCTCTCGCTTAGAGACCACGGGGTCTCAGCCTCCTGCCCCTGCAACCCCCAGCCATGTCCTCAGCTCTCCACTGCTCGCTGTAGCGGCTCCTGTGCTGATTTTCACAGCCCGCCAACCTTAAAGCTGTGTAACAAGGACCCCTCCAGTCCTAGGTCTTATTTCCCTCGCCCAGGGGTTGGAGGCCTCCTCCCCCACCCTCCCGGAAGTGAGCTCCTTGCTTGGGACTCCAGTTGATCAGAGCCCACGCACCCGCAGGGTGTCATCCTCACCCTGACCTGGAGAGGGCGCTGCTGTCACAGCAGCTCCACCGTGCCCCGGACAGGGGCTGGGCTTCTGCCTTATATCCAGAAGCGGGAAGACCTCACCTTAGGGATGAAGATCAGGGCCAGAGTGGCGGTGACTGTGCTGTGCGTGTGGAAGAAGAAGAGGAGGAGGGTCCAGTCCGGGTGCAGGGAGGGAACCAGCGCAAACCTGAGAGTGTGATGGGAGGGAGGGAGATTCTTATCTGTGGGTGGGCGTGGTCTCTCCCTCCCCACCAGTCCCCCTTGTCCCAGCCCCAGCCCTGATCTCTGTGGAGGTGCTGGCGGGTCGAGGAGGGTACTCTTCCTTCTTCTTGCCCTCTCTGGGGTGTGGGTCCTACCTTAAGGCTCACGTTCACACCTGTCTCTGAGAAGCCCTCCCGGAACACTCTAGCTGGCCTTCTCTGGCTGCCTGTAGTACAGACTTGTGCCCCACAACTCTGTTGTGGACCAACTTGTGGACGGATTCTGCCTCCACCACAGGGCCAGGTCCATAGGGACACACAGCAGGCAAGCTGCTGGGTCAGCTGCGGTGTGAGGCGGGAGAAGGCAGAAAGCTGAGCGAGTGTGGCAGGGTGCTTCCTCTGCTTGGGTGTGGGTGAGACATGGGGTGCAGGAGGGGTATGTGGGGTAGGGAGAGAGTACAGGTCGGGGGCCTTCCTCACCTAGCAGTGTTGCAAGGGTGGCCCTGGGAAGGGGGTACAGTCCTCGTCAGGGAGGAGCGAGGAGTAGTGTTAGGTGGGGAGGAGTCGTGGGTAGAGGGCCCATCCTCACCTGGCTGCATGGAAGGCAGCGGAGAGCAGCAGCTCGTTGTGCAGGGCGATGCCCATGTAGCGTGGTTCGTGGAAAGCTGAGGGCACAGCCCGGGCAGCGTAGCAGAGGAAGCTGCCCCAGCACAGGAGCAGCATCTCGGCTGTGGGGAAGCAGTGAGGGGCACTGCCTTAGCGGCCAGACCCCCCCCCTTTCTCTCTAGGGCTTGCTGGGGGGAACCTGAGCCAGGGGTCCGGATCCAAGGTGGGAGGAGCAGGACCAGAGGACCCGCGGAGGTGCAGAATCAGGGGCCAGAGTGAGACTAGGCTCAGTGAAAGCAACTCACCCACAACCATGATGTAGTCCCAGTGGTCATGGTGGCAGAGGTAGAAGTGGCGGCCCGTGGGAGTGTGGCCTCGGGTCACCAGGGGCGTGTGCAGGATGCCTCGCTCCAGGACCCCCACTGTCCACACAGCCAGGAAGCCCAGTACCAGCAGCAGAAGCAGTCCCAGACGCCGGAGCAGCTGCCCGCTGCTTAGGAGGGGGCCCCGCTGGGCCGTCCGAGACAGAAACAGCTGGAGCACTCTACAAGGCATAGACAATGGGTGGCGGGGGAGGGGGAACCAAGGAGACGGGGCCAGGGCTCTGTCCTCTGGCCATTGCTCCCCTAACGCCCACATATACCTGTCTTCCCACCCCTTCCATGGCTTGCTGCCTCCTTACCCCCCGGGGAAAATGACGTGGAAGGGAGGACTATAGTGACTATGGTGATGCAGGCAGGCTTTGGGGACATGGTGGTGGAACTGGCAAGAGTCTCACTGTGAAGAACTCCGTTCCATCAATGAGCTGGGGTGGCCAGGAATGACAGCACGAGAGCAAGATCTGCTCCAGCCCTACCTGTACAGCTTGAGTATGATGGTGCCATAGACGAGGGCAAAACCCAGCAGCCGGACCCAGCGGAGAGCAATGCAGCGGAATACACCGGGCTTGAAGTACAGGATGAAGACCTGGTGAGGGGGGTGGGGGGCAATGGCTGCTTTCCACCGAGCTCCCACTGTGCGGCAGGCCTACGCTCAGCACAGCGTGGATCCCCTCACAGTCTTGCAATAGAAGCAGCATCACCTGTGCTCTCCATTAGCTTAAGCAGCTCAAGAATCAGGGAGATTAGGTACCTTGTCCTAAGTCACACAGCAGGACACAGAGCTCTTTTAAGCTCGGACTCTTTGCTTCTAGAGCTCACTAGTCCAGTCTGCCACTTGGGAGTCTGAGTAGGGGCATCTGGAAGTCTCTGAATCCTCCCAAGAGGGCAGAGAGGAGGAAGCATTCTGGGGTTTGGAGGGCACCACGCTGGGGCTGTGGGGACCCTGGGAGGTGGGGGTTGGCTTCTTGCCGCAAACTCACAGGGAAGTAAAGCAGCAGGGATCCAAAAAGAATGGTTTCCAGCAGGACAATTCCGGATGCCCGGATCCTCTGTGAACCCAGGAACAAGAGGCAAGTAAGCAGGGCAGTCAGTGGGAGGACAGAGCCTGGACGATGGTGTGGGAGGGTCTTAGGCCTGTTTTAGGGGTCACTCAGTGGCCCTGGGCTAAGACTTCACCCCATGACATTGGCTTCACCTTCCACCCACAGCCACACCCCTATTCCCACCACAGGCTTAGTTTCCCTGGCACTAAAAGCCTGGCGAAGGCCCAGGTTTCAGACCCCGGCAGCCTAGCCCCATTCTCCCTCCAACCCCAGCCTGGGCCTTGCTGCAAACCTGGGCTCAGATCAGAAGCTGCTGGAGCTAGAAGGTACCTCCTGCATTTCTCCAAGCTTGAGTTCAGGCTGCTCCCTTGTCTAGATACCCCGCCCCCCTGCCCTGTAACCATCCGGTTGTCCTTTAAGTCTGGCTAAAATGTCACTTTCTCCAGAAAGTCTTCCCCGTGCCAGCTCAGGCTGGACAACCGGGTCCTTTCTCTGAGCCGCCAAAGAAACTGACACATAACTCCATTAACTCCATCCTCGCCTCTGTCTTGTTGCGCTGTTATTTTTGTTTACATGCCTGCTGCCTCCGTTCACCTGGGAGCTCCAGGTTTGAATCAACATCCAATGCTTTCATTTTCCAGGTGAGGAAACACGTCTAAGGTGGTGAGGTCACTTGCCAAATGTCACATAGCGTGTTCGATTAATAATCAAGACCAGAACCTATTTCTCCCAAATTCTAGTCTTAGATAGCCTCTGGTCTCCAGCTGATGCTAGGGGTGCAAGCTGGGTAGCACGTGTGTGCAGAGACAGACGCAGCGCCTTCCTTGCCTTGCTCCGGTGGCAGCGGTAGGAAACCAGCATGCTCAGGAAGACGGACAGCATGCAGCAGGCCTGGCAGGCCAACACTGCTGTCCGCAGCGCCAAGGCCTCCTCCACCAGGCAAGGTGTGGCATCCCTGCAGCTGGTGCAGCTCTCGGCACATGGCTGGCACCGAAGCAGCCTCCCGGAGCTGCCTTGTGGTGATGCAGATTGCTCAGTAGGCTGGGCGGCACTCTCCTCGGACCCTGTACAGAACGAGATGGGTGCAGGGAGAGGGGCATGGCTGGGGCATCCTGAGATGCTAGCCTTCTGTCCCAACAGTCAGCCCGGCCCTCTCCCTACCCTCCTTTGGCGGCCTCCTGGGGTCAGGAGGGGAGGGATGAAGACGCGGGCGCTCCCAAGGGAGGGGAGGGTAACGGGAAGAGGTGATGCCAAGTCAGGGCTCACTGCAAGGTCAGCTTGCAGCAGACTGGCATGTTACGGGCTCATCCTCAAACCAGATCCTGCCTGCCCCTTCGGTTTCTCTCCGCCTGGGAGGAAACCACCCAGTGTCTTGCCTGAGCCTGCCTTGCCCAGATACTCTCCTCCAACAAGCCCAGCCTATAAAACGCCTGCCTGGCCCTCTCCAGGTACATACCCCCAGAACGGCTTGCCCCATAGAAGCCTGGTCGGCAGCGGCAGAGGTAGCGGCCAAGGACAAAGCCCTGACTCTCCAGAGGGATGCACTGTGGGAACGGAAAAACAAACAAACCACAACGATGATATGTGTATGGGGCTTTCCCTCCCAGGAAGAGATGGATGATCCATCTGTCTACTTTTCTATCCATCGCACCTGGGTCCACACACTAAGGAACTTCCCCAGAAGCCCCTCTCTGCTCGTAGGGAAGCCTTCCCTCTATGGGAACCCCACTCTACCCCACCCACACTACCCCTCTTCTTAAAGAGACTCCCAAGCAAAGAGTATGGGGCTAGATCACCCTTTTGTTCAGACCAGTGGGGACAGGAGCCTCACAGATCCCATTTCGCAGGACCCAGCTGCTGCTAGAACGAGGTGCTGCGGGAGGTGCAAGCAGGAAGAGCTCCGAGCCCAGCCACACCTGTGTACCTACATCCTGCTTCAGAGGGTCCCGTCAGCCTCCCTTTTTGGCACACAGGTGGGTTGAGAAGGCTCCCGCAGAGGAGCGGCTTCCTCTGTCAGGGGCCATCTGGCTTCAGCACGGGACTGCTTTCCCCAGCCCTAATGCCAGGCCAATGCCAGGCTGGTGGGATGCCAAGGCCAGCTCTTTATTCTGCCTCCGCCCATTAATGTTTACCCAGCAGGGGACAGAGCAGACCTCAGAGTCAGGCGAGGAAGATGAGCCCATGGATGAGGCCAGATCTGCCGTAGGGAGTGGCCAGGAACAGGCAGCATTAGGCGAAGCGAGGGGTAAACACTCAGAGATTCTATATCCAGCCCGACTCTCACCAAGAAAGATGAAAGGGTGCCGCCTCTGGCACTGTGGCCCACCTTTCCCCTGTGCCCAGACCAGTGGAACACGGTCTGCTCCCGCCACAGGCTGCACAATCAGACAAAGCCTGCCCAGAGGTGTGACTGTGGCTTGGGCTTGAAAGGAACCGGACACTGGGATCCCTTCTCCATCCCTGGGCTCATAGCTGCAAACACATGTGCCCTGAAGAGCAGTAGGTGCCCAAACCGGCCCCACCTCCCAGCAGAGCAGGCTGCAGGGCTGGCCTTGGCCTCAGGTCAGCTCAGGATCAAGCACGCGGCCACTGTAACTGTGGAGTGGATTAGTGCACTGGCCTCCCAGTTCCCCGGTCCTGGGCTTGCAGGATTACCAGCCATCGCTTCCATTATCCAGATTCTTCTGCATCCTTGGCTTTGATTCCGCTGGCATCTGGCCTGGGTTCCATCACCTGTACCAGCCCCAGAGCTCTTCCAGCTCCAGCTGAGGTTAGATTCCTCCCACACCCCAACCAGCAATTCCACTTATTTCAGCAAACACCTACTGAGCATCTTTTGTGGGCCAGGAGGAGCCTGGAGCTCTGTTGACATGATCTGACAATGTGGTCCAGGAGAAGGGAAGGGGATGATTAATAGAGATTCAGAAGATGGTCTTGGAAAGGGATTTTGGAGCCCCCAGTACCAGAAGGGAAGGCAGACAGGGGTGGGGGCACACTATTTCAAAGACATGAAAGTGGTTGTCTCAGGTGAAGGGTGAGGGGGGTTCTGTAAGCATCCTCTTTTTTTAAAAGCCTGGAAGCTCATTTTTATCTCATCATGAGAAACTCCCTTGAAGCCCCGAGAGGCTGGTGTGCCTTTGTCAGCCGCTTCTGGGAGCTGTGCGGTGGCCGTGGTGGGAAAAGCGGAGGGAGGGAGGACCCTGCGCGCTGCCCCCACCCCTCCCCTTACCCTTACCTGGGTGCTGTTGAGATCACACAGGTGCGTGTTAGCGTACCAGCCTGGGCCGCTGGCACACTGGTTGATGTCCACACTTTGAACGTCTACATCCATCTGCACCTGCCCCCTAGGGCAGTGAATGAGCAGTTAGGGACACAGCAAAGGATGTCAAGGCGGACGTGTGTCCTTGGGCCCCAGACTACGGGCAGTGCAAGTGCTGCAGATGCTGGCACCGCGGCTGCAGTGTGTAGACAGAGAGCACGCAGGCCTTCCGTCTCTCCAGTGCGGCTAACCCCCACCGTCTGCAGGCAACAACCCCTCTCCCCACAGGTGGTCCCCCATCCTCCCATCCCTCCACTTTTCAGCATCCGAGCATTTCCTGGTTTCTATACATTGGTAGAGGAAGGGGACGTGTCTAGACATGTGGGAGCTGGGACTTTGGTGATCGGTCTGAAGGGGATTTTCACACTTCCCCACTGCGTGTATACACACTCACACTCACACACACACACATGGAGCTCAACTATTAACTGCCCCTCACTCTGCCCAAACCGGGTCTGGATTTATTATAGCAAAGCAGCTATGGGAGGGAGGCGCCCAGGGTTAGAGCTGCCTGGCCCAAGGGCTCCCAACACCCCCCCCCGCCCCGCCCCCGCTCTCGCTAAGTGCCCAGAGAGCTGGCAGGGAGCCAGACTTCCTGCCGGCAGCAGGGGACCCTGCTGGGGACAGTGAAGGGGGACACAGAGCTGGTAAAACAATGTCGGTTGTTGAATGATTTGAAGTGCTGTGCCCATTGGCTCCCGCCTTCCCACCAGGGCTCCCAAGCACCTCTTCACTCTGACTGAGGGGGGTCGATTGTTTGAGGGGTATCACAGGCACCTGGGTCAGGACAGGCAAGACAGTGGAATCTGCTCGATATAAGAATATAGCCGTTGGGAGTGACCCTGGGGCCCTGGCCAACTCCTGGACAGAAGGGGCAATGGTTTCAACCCTCCCCCTAAGAATTTCCCTTGTCTTGGAAAAGCCGCCTTTCACAGCTCTGGGTTGGCGGAAAGCAGCAGGTTTAGCTCCTGAAGTCCCGCCTGGCTCCTCTAAGACGCCTGCTGTGTGGATTGTCATTTTCATCCACACGAAGAAGCCCTCCCTTGTGCCTCTTGTACCCACTACTCAGACCTAGGGGCCAAGGCCCACCCCCAGCTATACCCACACATCGGTGCCCACACATGTGCATAATCGTGTGTGGAGACAGTGATTCATACACGGTCTGTATGCTCACACCTGTATGTGTCAACATGTAGTCACAGATTCCTAGAGGTGAGTGCAAACACACACCGCTGAAGGCAGATACACACATCTGGGTCCCCCAAACACACGTGCGCACCCCAAACAGCCCATGTGCAGCTGGGTGGACTTGGGCTCCCCACCCCAACGAACCTGCGAATGCACCGAATCCTGCACAAACCCACCTACCTGATCTCCGGGCTGAGGTCCGGCTTGAGTCCGTAGAAGGTGGCCGAAAGTGTGACAAGCCAGCCAGGACGAAGCTGGCCCTCCTGGCATTCCAGGAAGGGAGGAGACAGCCTCACATGCTGCATGTCCCCCAGATAGCCATCCCCCCGTGGCCACTTGGGGCTTCCGAGGGTCCCTAGGTCATTGGTCAGCACCCGTTTCTGCAGGATAGGAGTGTCCAGGGTCTCAGTGAGGCTCTCTTCCAGCACCCTGCTCTCAGACAAGTCCTGAAGGATGGTCTCCTCCCCCATTCGGGTGGCCTGCAGGGCCAGCGGCGGGTGGCTGGCCCCTGGTGGAGGGTTAAACGTCAGCAAAGCCCGGTAGGCCCTCGGGTCCCCCTCGGCCACGCTGCGGACCAGCGCCTGGTACCACTCCACATCCTCCTCCACGCTTGACTCGCGGATGTCATTGGCTTGTAGCAGCATGTTGAGGAAATTGGCGGCCTGGGCAATGGTGGCTGCTGCCCTCCCTAGGATCGGGGGCACCCCTGGACTGGCTTCTGCCCCCTGAGCTTCATAGCGCACACTGCAATTAGTTCCCAACAGCTGCTGGGCATCTCCAGAGTAGAGAAAGGCCAGGGCTGCTTCAGCACCCCCAGGGGGCACCCACACGGGTTCATATCCTGGCTTGACTCCGGAGGACAGCGAGGGCAGAGGGTGGAAGGGCCGCAGAGTTCTCAGAGCCCAGCCACAGAGGAGACGGCAGCCCAGCAGCCCCCACACCAGAGGGGACATAACCACTTTCCTGGCGCGCATCCTTGGGGCAGTTCTCGGGGACCCTGGGGTCCGGGCTGCCTGGGGATTTGGTGGCTCAGGAGAGCCCAGGTAGAGGCTGGCTGCAGCCTGGCACTGCCTGCCTGCCCGACTCCTTTCCTCGTGGTCTTTCTTCCCCTCTCCCTCCCTCTCTCTGCCTGTGCTGTGCCGCCCGGTTTTTCTTCTTTCTAAAATCATCAGCTGGCTTCTAGACGTAGGCATGAGGGCTCTCCCTCCTCTGCTCTCGGTGTGACCCCATCAAAGACCCTCTTAATCCCAGCACACCACTCTTTCCTCCCCCTATTATCCAGGATCTAGGCTCCCTCCTCCCACTCTCCACCCTACATCTGTGCCAGGGAAAGAGATGGGAGGGGAGAGGAAGGGCCCCGTCCTTCCCTCTCTCCCTCTTTCTCTTTCTGCCCCCCTCTGCCCTTTGCTCCATTAGGAGAGATGGGCAAATCCAGGCTGGGGTGTCATAGCAACCGCAGATGAGCCCCTGCTCCTCTCTCTACCCCTCTGCTCCACTCAGCCTCCTGGCAGCAATTGCGACGGGCATGAGAAAGGGCCAGGCTGTGTCTCCTGGCAATCTGCTCTGGCTGCCTGTAGCCCCGACACTATGCTGCTGCTGAACTGGGGTTTGAGATTGGGGATGGTGAAGGTGGGAAAGAGAGCTTCATATAACCACAGTCAGTCATTGTACAGACTGTGGCGGTTTACAAAGTGTTTTTCATGTGCATTATCTCAATACATTTTCCCCAAGCCACATATGGTGAGTGTCATCCCCATTTCACAAAAGCAGAGAGGCTCAGAGACTCTCCCAAGGTCACCTTGGGGCTCACTTTGAGTTGAGTCACAAACTCAGAGCTCTGACTCCCCTGCAGTGCTCCCTCAAACCATGACTACCGCCTGGTTAGTCATCCTCGGGGACCTTAATCAAGCCCCTTTGGAGAGGAGTGAGTCAAACTCAGACAGGTGGAGGGACTTCCCTAGGACCACACTGCGGCTTGCGCCAGTGCAGGAGCCTCCACCAGGTCTCCACTCCCCCACCCAGGGGTCCCCCCTCCTGCATCTCAGAGTCAACAACAACAACCGCAGCCAGTGGGGTGGGGGCAAGTGGGGGCAGGGGCAAGAGAGTGCACAAAGTTTTGTTTCCGCTTCTTCCGCCTTCATTTGGTCATTTGAAGTCCTGTCTTCTTTTGTTCTTGAAAACTGTGCCTTACCTTCCTTGGTCTTTCTGGTTTTCTCATCACTCATGCCATTCCTGCCATTGGCCACGATGACTGAAGAGCTTAGACTTCGTCTGAGGCAGCTTCCCTGGACCAGAAGGATGTGGGTTCTTGCAGGTGGCCACAGAACAAAGCCCCTGCCTTCCTCTCCCTCCTTTCTCCATCACCTTTCCATTGCAGAGCACTCTGCACTTGGCGATCTGGCCCCAAATGCACAGGCTGTGTCTTTGGGCCCCTTCCCTTCTCTCTCTGCCCCCCCCCCAACCTCTGACATCCCAGATCACTGAGTGTATGTAGGAAGGGACAGGTGGAGGTTGCTAAAAACTTCCCTTACTTTATAGGTGGCCTCAGCAAACAATTATGCTTTAGAGCCCTAAGTGGGGGTATAAGGGGTGGGGGAAAGAGACGACGCTAAAGGACCAGCCTCCAGCAGACCCCGTAAGATGTCGGAACTAGAAGTGCCTGCAGTCCAGACCTTTCTCTGACAGAGAAGGAAACTGAAACTGAATGTCAGCAAAGTGACCTTCTCAAGGCCACGAAGCCAGTGAGCGGTTACCGGGGTCGGACCTGCAGCACGGCTCTGGCTCTGTAGCTCTGTCCTTGGCTGCTTGGGCTCTGCGTGCTCACTAACCGCGAGAGGAGCAGAGGGAGCAAGCGACCCATTCCTGGTTCCTGGTGTTATTGGTTACCATCGGCAAAGGCCAACAAAACACGCTGGGTAAAGACATAGCAGTAAGTTGTTTTACTATACCCCCTTTTCCCCTTGAGAAGCTTTTCACACTAATAACAACTAACATTCGTATAACGTTTTTGCATTTACATGTAATCCCCACAACAGCCCTGTCAGGGGGATTATTATTGACCTACTTTTTTTTTTTTTTTAACAAATGAAATACAGGTTCAAAGATGTTTAACTGCTTGCCCTTGGTCATACCTCCAGGAATTGGCCTGATTAGGACTCAAACAAGGGAGCGAGCCCCAGTGGGATGGCAGCTGAGCATGTGTCACTCAACACTGCAACCCCGAAGCCTGGCCCACTGCCGAGTGACTTCAGTGACTGCAGGACTAGTTTAGATGATCCACATTGTTCTTCACAGACTTTAAAAACTAGGGTCCTACCACTGCAGGGAGCACTTACACACTCCTTAGTGAAAAGGGTACGTGTAGACACAAAACCCGCTCAACACACCCCAGTCCAAGTCATACAAAGTTGTATTTCCTTTGCTTGGATCTTAATTTTCAATGCTTTTTCCAGGACCTGAGCCACAGGCATGGACATTGAAGGACGTGGAGAGAGGCAGCACTCCTTGCCCTGCCTTAGAGAGAGCCTGTGTGCATTCCCTTGTGCCTCTGTGTACTCTGGGCAGGTGGAGACACCCCAGGTGGCAGACACAGCCTCTCTCTCCAGGGCTAAGAAAATAGATGGACAGCAGAGGGCGCTGCAGAACTACAGACCTTGCATTACCCCTCCCTGTAATCTGTTCCAGAGCCAGTTTTTCTGACACAGCCAGAGATCTTAGGTGGTCTTCATAGGCCTCAGGGGTTCTGTGGTCCCACAGAAATTTCTCCTTTTCTCCAGAAACTTCAGTGATGCCTGAGAGGTAGCTGAGAGAAAGGGATTAAAGGATAAAATGTTTGGCATCAGACAGAGCTGGTTTTAAATACCACTGCAACCTCAATTTTGAACTGTGTGATCTTAGGTGAATAACTGAGCTTAATTAAGTCTCTTCATGGGCAAGGAAGGATATATATTCTGTTGTGCTGCATGAGATGAATTTGCATGAGGAGACTCTTTTTTTAAGATTATTTATTTATTTATTTTTAGAGAGGGAAGGGGGAGAGAGAGAGAGAGAAACATCAATGTGTGGTTGCTGGGGTCCATGGCCTGCAACCTAGGCATGAGGCATGTGCCCTGACTGGGAATCGAACCTGCGATGCCTGGTTCACAGCCCGTGCTCAATCCACTGAGCCACGCCAGCCAGGGCAGGAGACTCTTAAAAGGTGTGAGGTTATTGTCAAGATCCTACTCTGTGCCCAGAAACAGTCCTGGGCCCTGGAGGGTCCACAATGGGCAGATGTGGCCCTTCATGGAGCTGACGGCTTAGTAATGAAGACAGACTTTAGTCAAATAACCCCACAGGTAGTTGACAAGTAATATGTGTGCAATTAAGTGCAGCAAAGGAGTGATCCTGGACCTCAGTAAGGAGGAAGTGTCCCACCAGGGAGATTTATTTCCCTGAGGTAGTAAATTCAATCTGAAGAATGAGTGGGACTTTACTAAGCAAAAAAAAAAAAACGGGGGGCGGTGAGGAGGGGTGATGATGGGGGTGGGGTGGAGAAGCCTTTGAAAAAAGGGAACAGCTTCTGCAATGGCCGTATATGTGCAGGCTCGACACAGAGCTAGTGGAACTGCAGGGGAGACAGAACAAGGGGGAGCTTGGTGGGAGATGAGGCCAGAGAGAGGCAGGGTCAGATCACAAAGGACCCCAAAAGCCTCCTTAAGGAGTTATGCTTTTATCCCAAGAACAATGGGAAAAACAGTGGGAAGCGAGAAGCATTGTAATCACCGGCCATGGACACATTTCCATTTTGAAAAGGTCTCTCTGGCTGCAGGAGACACAGCAGACCCTCAGCCCTCTTACCCTCAGTGCAAACCTGGGTATCAAAGTCGCTAAGCTCTGCTGGCTGCTCCTTCCTCCTCATCCCTTCCATCCCTTACCGCCTCACATGGGACCATTGCAAGAGTTTCCTAATTGGCCTTCCTGCCTCCAGACAAACCTCCTCTGCACAGCAAACTTGATCTTGTTTGGTCTTCCCAACATGCCTGCAAGTAAGCAAGGCAGCAATCCTTGTCTCTGTTTTGCTGATGAGAAAACTGTGGTGCTATGGAACGGGCTCATACAGGCTGATGAGAGCCAATTGTTAAAATTTCAGGAATTCTGCAAGCCAGTTGTTAAATCACAGCCACTGTTAAAATTAAATTATACAATTTATAATGAAATAAATGATGTTAAAAACAAAGGTAATATTAAATAAATTCTCGAAACTCGTCACTTCCTAATAATTTCACTATTATTAGTTACCTATGCTCTTGGGGTTATTTATATTGTTGTATCTGCATGATGAACAACTACATAATGAATGCTACTGTTCATCTCTTTTTACCTCTGTGTTCAGTTTTTAAGCCAGGTTGGTAGAGTGAAATCAGCCACAATGGCAATATTTACACCATGGAAAATGGCAAACCCTATAAATTTAGTGTTAGTGTTTTGTTGATTACCTAGACTTAAGAACATGATGGAGAAAATGTTAACTCAGATTTAAAATTTTTTAGCTGACCCAAAGGTAATTTACTAACAGAAAATAGTAATTTGAGGACTCCTGTTCACAGAGGGTGACAACGTGACCACCTTCCTGCAGCAGGTGCTGTCAGAGGGGGTGGGAGTAACATCCTCAATCCATCTGATCTTCATTCCCAAGCGGGCAAGGGCTCTGAGAGCTGACTGGGCCCCCAGTCCAGGGGTCTTGGTCCTATTTCCTCCTATGGCCCGGAGTTTGACATGGAGAGTGGTGGTTTCCTGCTCCTTGCACCTCTGGGCCACATTCTGGGCAGCCAACATGGCAGCATATGGAAAGGACTCATCTCAGTCAGCCCTGACCTTCATCCCACCTGTCACACTGTAGATGGTTTCCTTAACAGAGAAACCAGTGACATGGACAAAAGTGTCATTGGAGGATGCAAAGACGTGGTGGACACCAAATACATTGTCTCCTTTAGCCACCTGAGGTCGGAGGCTGACGACCTGTTCTTCCTCTTTTTCTTCCCCTGGCAAGGTGCCATTTCTGCACATCGGCTCCAGACTCCACAACCGGAAAGCTCGGTTTAAATTTAATGTGTTATGTCTGTAGCCATTAGATTGTGAATGGAACAAAAACTGCGACAGTTTTCCTCTTTGAAAACTGTTTTCTGAGTCAGCAAAGAAGTCATTCCCATAACTGAGTTAAGACTGTTTTTTTTTTACACTTTCCTCTTACATTGACATAGAGGAAAATATTAACCAACATCCTTGTGACAATTACACTCCTTGGTCAACTGAAACCACAGGGCTACCCATTCAAGAGCTTGGCAAAAAACAATGAAAGCATTCTGTGAGAATCAACTGGTTACATGAAATTTGCAATAGTACCGATTATCATTATTTTTGGTAAATTGTGTGCTACACATTTTACACTAGTAAAATTTAGGGTATAGGTGCATTAGTATATGCACCTATATTTACATACATTCCCCTCTCCCCCCAGGGCATCAGTTGTTCAACATTTATCAGCACACCTCTGAGTCTTAGAATATTATTCATGTGTCATTACATAAATATTTACTGGATGCTAGGGGTGATACAGTTTGTCAATGAAGAAATGACTCCGCCTCGGTCACAGATCGCAGGCGGCACAGGCGGGGCGAGAACCAGTTTCTCGCAAGGCTAGCGGCTCTCTTCCAGGAGCAGACCTGGACTCCCAGAGCGGCTCCACCTTCCCGGGATGGGTGGCTTGGGCCTGAGTGCCCGGGAAGTGAAAAACCAGGGTCGAGGCGGGTGACCAACAGCCAGGCGAGCAGCAGCTCACGGCCAATAGCGAACCAGGCCGGCGTGACGTCACGCTCCTTGGAGGCCGGCTGCAGTACACCCTGGGGACAGGGGCGTGGCCACAGCCTCCCGGAAATGATGCCATCCGGGGGGCGGTCCTCCGCGGCGGCGGCGCGCGGCCTGCGCTCGCGCTGGGCTCCGCGCGCCCCCCGCCCCCTCTGTGAGGCAGAGGCCGCCGCGGCCGTTAGCGCTGTCGCTCCGGGGCCCGCGGCGGGCGGGGCTCCGGCGGGGCCCGGCTTAGTCCCCACCCCAGCCCGGCTCCCTGCCTCCCGCCCTCCTTCCCTCTCCCCGATGCAGGGGGCCGAGCTCCGGGATGGTGAGGCGGCGGCAGCGGCCGCTTCGTACCGCGTCTTGAGCCGCCTGCTCGGCTATGGAGAGGCGGCCCCCGAGCCAGGCCCGCCGCCACCGCCCCCGGGCCATGGCCCCCCGCCGCCACCCTTCCTTGCACGGCCCGGTACGCGGGGCTCCCGGCCGCCTCAGCTGATGGTGTTCCGCAACGTGGGTCGGCCGCCGGAGGAGGAGGACGCGGAGGCGGCCCCGGAGCCGGGACCCTCGGAACTGCTATGTCCCCGGCACCGCTGTGCCCTGGACCCCAAGGCCCTGCCCCCGGGGTTGGCGCTCGAGCGGACCTGGGGCCCGGCTGCTGGACTAGAGGCGCAGTTGGCAGCTCTGGGGCTCGGGCAGCCGGCGGGGCCGGGAGTCAAGACGGTTAATGGGGGTTGCTGCCCGTGCCCCCCGCAGGCGCCCCCTCCGCAGCCCCAGCCGCCTGCTGCCGCCCCGCAGGCCGGGGAGGACCCCACGGAAACGAGCGACGCGCTGCTGGTCTTGGAGGGCTTGGAGTCGGAGGCCGAGAGCCTGGAGACTAACAGCTGCTCGGAAGAGGAGCTCAGCAGCCCGGGCCGCGGAGGAGGAGGCGGCCGGCTTCTGTTGCAGCCCCCAGGCCCTGAATTACCCCCGGTGCCCTTCCCGCTGCAGGACTTGGTCCCTCCAGGGCGCTTGAGTAGAGGGGAGCAGCAGCAGCAGCCGCCGCCCCCGCCCCCTCCTCCCCCTGGGCCCCTCCGGCCACTCGCGGGCCCTTCTCTGAAGGGCTCTCTCAAAATCCGCCTCAGTCGCCTCTTTCGCACGAAGAGCTCCAGCGGTGGTTCCGGTGGCGGGTATGGGGCCGGCAAAAGGCCTTCTGGAGAGCTGGCTGCTTCAGCTGCGAGCCTGACCGCCGTGGGAGGCTCTGCCGGCCGGGAGCAGGACGCAGGGAGGTGAGACCCGCGGGGGTGCTGACTGACAAACTTCCCTTTTTTGTTTCATTTCCCTTTTATTCTAACAAGATCCCGACAATTCTGATGACATGGCCTTCATAAGGAGGCAAAGAATTGGGGCTAAAAGTGGTGACATCGTTCATTAGGCCAGAGCTAATTATGGGAAACGGCTTTCGCTCTGAGTTCATTCCCCTTGACACTTCCCGGCTGGTTAGCATCTCTAGCGCCGAGATGATTTGAAACCGTGCCCCCACCCCTACCCTGGCCCAGCTTTTCAAGTTTTCCCAAGGTGTCTGTATACTGTTACCTCCCGTTTGGCCTTTGGGACCTTTGGGAGGGAATGTTGGTGTTGCATTTTGACCACCTTGCTTATTAGTCTTTCCGTGTGCCAGCACCCCACCCCCTTCACACTCATGCGTACAAATGATGTGAAGAGTTGTAGGCCCACGGTCAGTTGGGCAGCTCTATTGCAAGTTTTCATGTTTCCCTGGTTGGTCTCCTAGATGTACTTGGAATCTCAAGCCTGTGGGCCACTGTCAGTGAGAATAGAAAATAGCTTTGCTATCAAGCCCATGTGAGAACTAAGTATGAGGTATAGGCATTGGTGCGTGAGTTCTAGGTCAACTGATGAAACTTCTCAACTTAGACTTTGAGTTTTTTTTCTGAACTTCTGAAGGGTGGAACTGCTGTCTGACATCCAGTGTGAGATCTGTGTATTGGTTTAGAAAGCTGTCCACTTTGGTATCCATGAAATGAGACTTACCTTGTGGTAACTGCCATCGTGGTTTGTGCTGCTGAAGGGGTGAGGCGAATAATTGAGAACTTTGTGCACCAGAATCATTGGGGGAGCTTTGGGCAAAGGTCAGTACCTCTTAGGGCCCAAGAATTTGAATTTTTAAAAAGATTTTCTTTATTTATTTTTAGAGAGGGAAGGGAGAGAGAGAGAGAGAGGGAGAGGGAGAGGGAGAGGGAGAGGGAGAGGGAGAGAGATATCAATGTGCAGTTGTTGGGGGTCATGGCCTGCAACCCAGGCATGTACCCTGACTGGGAATTGAACCTGCGATGCCTGGTTTGCAGCCTGCGCTCAATCCACTGAGCTACGCCCGCCAGGGCTAAGAATTTGAATTTTTAAAAAGCTCCCCGGTTGGCCCTGAGGTATCGCCTGGACTGGGAACCACTCATCTATATGTGGGAACTTGGGTACTTCAAAAGGAGAGTGTGGGTCAGTTTGACATTGCTGCCCTTTCCGAACAGCTGTGCCAGGGTCTCATCTTGGGGATCAGACCAAACCCGAGCTCCCCAGGGAGTTGGTACACGTTACCCCCTTCCGGTAGATCTACGTTTCTGCATTTGCCTCCCAGAGAACTCATGCGCAGGTCTGGAAAAGTGTGTGGCTGCTGAAACAGCTTTTTTGTTGTAGGCTCTGCATTTGATGCTCCACTTAACCGGTGTAGATGAAATTTTCCTCATAACGGGGGGAGGGCAGGACTGAAGCTGTGGGTAATGACATAGGATAGATTGCTGATTTTCTTGTGGTTTGTCTTGCCTTTGTTCCATATTGACCAGGACCTGGTCTAAGATTTCAGACACGCCAGATAGGAGGTGTGGCGTGAAATTAGCTGCTCCGTCTAATAGATTAGGAAGTGGAAAAGGCATATAACATTATACGGTTTTTTGCCTTTGGAAGCAGAATTTAATGGTCATTGGCTGCTCTGTCACCAACCTTCACACTAAGCACAATACAGATTTCTGCTGCAGAGCAAATTGGGCTGTAGCTCTGAAAAGCTTAGTTCAGGGCACTGGAGAATTACATTTTTTGGTCCAAGGGCTTTCTCTGATGGATTGGGGAAGAGCGAGGTGCTTGTGTACGAACGTGCAGTTGACTGCGGTTAGGAGGCAGCATGTGGGACAGGCTGTGAACATCTAATTCCATTTAGAACCCCAGCATCAGCTGTGGGATGCCGGCCAGTTCTGTCATCTTCACGCTCCTCCCTTTTTATTCATCAGGAAAATGGGAACGATTCCTGTCTTTTACCCGTCCTTGTAGGAATAGAGTGAAGCCAAGGGAAACGGAGGTGGACTATCTTGTGCTTTTGGAGAAGTAATAAGATTGAACTGGTGATTTTATTTTTATACTTAGGATTTGGTGCTGTTAGATTTGCTTGTTAGCTTTTACACAGCTTACTATGTGCCAGTCTTGCTGGCAGCCTTGCAGCCGTGAGAAACTTGGTTAAGTCTGGCCGTGGCGGTTGTGATTTCTGTGGCTCTGCACCTCCTAAGTCAGTCCGCCCTGTTGGAAACAAGGATGGCTTTGGAATTTTAGCTTGTTCTCGTGTTTTAACTGGTAGAACCTGGAAGCTGTGAGCAACCTTAGTCTCTTGCCAGAAGGTGTGTATGCCTTCCTCTTTATCGTTGGTTGGAGTCTCTGTACGCCTTGCTGTATAATTTGGGGCTTGTGCAGGAACCTCCGGGCATGGCTCTCTGTGCTCTTCCTAACATTTTGCCTGCGGCTATTGCTAGAAAGTACTTCCTGCAATCATTTCGTAAGACTTAACAGTTTGCATATTTTAACATTAAACAAAACTTTAGTTCCTTTCAGATGCTTTAGAGTGTGCTAAATGGACCTACCTGGATATTCTGAGTCTTAATTCTAGAATGAGTTGGCTTAGAGAACTCTTTTGAAGCAAGGAAGAGATGGGCTCACCAGCTAATCAGGTTTCTGCTGTGAAGAACTGGGCTAGGCCTCTAACACATATGTTGGAATTCACAGAGCTGGGCTTGATGCCTGTGGGCTTCAGTGTAATACAGAATTGCTATTTCAGGAAAACCAGTAAAGTTCCCCTTTCTGTTTCACATATGTTGAGCTGATTGTCTTCCTTTATATTTGGTGAGAAATTGCATTTGATCTGATTTTTTTTGAATCATCACATGATACATACACACTTGGTTGGAAATGGGCACCTTGTTCGTTTTTTAAGTTTTTATTTTTCCTGAGTTAATGGTTGAGCTGTTACCTTGGATCTTCATAGTTGTGATGTGGAAAAATAGAGAATAGTTCTGTGGTGGTTTCCTATCTATTTTGGGGGGGCGGCAAAAAAGATACAGTTCTGGAAAGAGGCAGCTAGCTGCCTTGGCATCAGTTTGAGGCCCTGCTGCCATGGACAGACTTGGCAGAAATGAGAGACCCTCTTCTCTGTTTCCGTGGGTCTTCAGGTCCGAATGGGGTATTTCTAAGAAATAACATGACACACCAAGAGCAAAGTGATTTGCGGTGCGGGAAGGAAGTCCTGACCCTGCATTTGGGTGTTGGGTCTGTGCTCCACTGATCTTTGCGGCTGCTTTCCACGCAGTGGTTGAGGTTGGCGGCTCTCATTTGGAGTGAGCAGCCTGGTTCCAGAAATCTCTATCCATTTGAGCCTTGTGTCTTTGCTCCTGAATGTTTTCCCTGCTAACATCATTCCTGACAATTTAGTCCTTGGACTACACCACCTGGCTTTTCCCTGGAAGTTCCCTTCATAGGTTCTTTAGTTGGCTTATGATGGAGTTTTGGATTTGACCTTGCTGCACAGATGTCTGTGTGTTGGAACTGAAATGAACACATGGTTTTTGTGCCTGTAGCACACGAGCAGACACTGGCTGATGACGTGTTGAAAATGGCACAGGCTGGCCGACTTGGCACTGTGTGCTCAGCAGGGGCAGAGGTAAAGTGTGGCTGTAAAGTCTGATAATTGGACATTCTCGTTTGGGAGTCACTTTTGAAAAGAGCATGTGTAAGTCTTCGGACATTAATAGAAGAGATTAATGGACAAGAAGGGAGGGCCTTACTCTTTCATTGTTTATATTTTAGGTTTCGAGGAATTTGCAAAGTGGCTAATGATTTTATGAGTGTGTCATCAGCCTATCTAGTTGAATGCTTTTAAGTTTTATCCCACAGATCTGTTGCCATACAATTAGCAATTTGCAGAGTGGAAATGGACAGAGGCATTCTGTCTCTTTGTTACAGGAAGCACAAGCAATGCACAGCTGACATAAAGGACTGCTTAGCCTCCATGAAGACCTTTGCCTGAGGTCTTCTGCCACCCCTGTCCTGTTCTGCCACCTGAGGCACAGACTACCAAATCCTGCTCCACCCTACCTCCAAGTCTTTCTGCTTCTTAGCTTTTACACAGCTTCCTAGGATACACATAGCTTAACTTTGCACCCTAATGCTCATCAGGGTGACCTGAGGAGGAATAAAATAAATGGGAGTGTGGTATAGAAAGGTTAGTTAAAAATGTTATCCATATGTTTCGTGATGCTCTCCGAAAAACAGCACTTCCAGCCGAGATTGGGCTTCTATCATTTTCAATGTTTCATATATACAAAAGGATGTGTATATAGTGTGTGCAACATAATAATAATCAAATGCGTACCCAGGTATACATCTCTGAGCTTAGCAGATATGAGTAACGCTATGAGTTACCTTTGAAGACCCCTGTGTGTTGCTTCCTGATTACATCTCCACAGCTACCATAACCGCCATCCTCAGTGTTATGTTAATCATTCCCTTGCTTTGTTTTTTTACAGTCGGCTAGATTGGTCTTTTCGAGTGACTGCCATTAGAATGCTCTCAGGATCCTTGAGACAGAAACTGCTTTGGATTTTCAGTTAGCATCTCCCCGAAGAGAGAAGGAAGCACTCATTTATTATTAGCCTTTCAGCCTCTTAGACCTTCTCCCTCTCCAAGCTTCCTGCTCTGAGGCTCCCTTATTTGCCAGGAAAAAAAATCCCAGGGCTCTTAAATGGCTCTGCCTGGATTTAGATTCATATGTATTTCTTTTTCCAGATCCTAGAAACTATGATTTTCTTCTTCAGAATGCTGGGGGCGGGGGAGAAGATGAAGTGGAGTGAGAAGGCCCCTGCAAGCTGTGTGCGTTTGGGTACTGCCGTTCTTCAGTGCTTGGCACCGGAGAGATTCGTCCCCAGCATGGGCAGATGGCAGAGTAATGCAGCTTCCTTTGAAAAGAGGCAAACGGCCAAGTGGCTGAGGTGTGAACCCTCTGAAAGGCCAGTGCTTTAGGTTTCTACTTTCTGAGTTTAATGTTGTACCCACAGTTATCAAATAAAAATCGGTTTGGAAGTTCTTCAGTCTTAAAGTTCATGTCCAGGGGAATTAACTTTCCATTTCAGCCCTCTGGAGTGTTGGAACGAAGCTGCAGACTGTCACGAGCAACTTTCACAACAGAGGGACCGTGTGTGCTTGTGTCTTGTTGGGATGCAGTGCCTCTCCCGGGGCTGCCGTCATTAGACTTCTTAAGCCTCGGCGTGCGGGGGGTCGCAGGGGGAGTGCGAGACGGGCCAGGAGAGCAAATCCAACACCCTGGCTATTTCTAAGATCTTTACATAATGGTTTTCAAATTTTGTTTGAAGTGTGTTCTGAGAACCTCAGATACATGTGTTAAAACATAAATGCATAAAGATCTTCTAAAATCAAATAAATCTAAATAGGATTTTCTTTGCTTCCTCCTCCCCCTCCTCTGGCGCAGGTGAAGTTTCGCTTAGTCCTTTGGCTGAGAGTAATTTGAGAAAGGGAGCCAGCTATAAGGTCTGGAGTCAGGCACTGATGTCGGTGGTGGGAGGTTTTTTTTTAAAGTCTGGTTTATTGAGGAATGATTTATATACCACCTGAAACTCCCCTGTTTAAGGTGTCTAGGTCTATAAATGTTGATAAAGATATATATTCATCATGACCTCTACCACAGTCAAGATTCAGCACATCCCTGCCTCCTCCACAAGTCTTGCCTTCCCTTATAGTCAATTCAGCCATCTTGAGATGGAATTTTTGAGCTTAGCACATTTTTAGCCTGAAAGTCTTCTTCACAGTCTTTAGGTTTCTTTCATTTCTCTCTGAAAAGATGTTTGAAATTGGTACAAAGTAAAGTTACCTTTTGTGTATCTTTTCACGGGAGACCTGGGTTTTCAGCTGGTTCGCTGGAGCAGCATCAGGCAGAAGTCGTGGGGGGAGCCGTGTGACTGGCAGTTCGGAAAGGGGAAGAGGCCACCTCGTTCCGGTGCCAGGCGGGGCCCCTGACCTGAGCGGGCACCTTGGTAGCTGGTGGTTGTAACCCACGGCTTGGGGACATTTGTGCAGAAATCAGAGGTCTTAGTGGTTGAAGATGACATGTGCATCCTGTAGTGCTGGTCTCGAGTCCAAACATGCCCCTTGGCTCCCTTTGGGGCCTCCTGTCCCAAGGGGCAGGCCCGGAGGGAAAGCGGTTGCTCTGACATGTGAAAACCCACTGTGCAGCTGACTTCCTTCCTCTAGAAATGGACTCGCTGCTTGCCACTCGAGGTGCTTGACTCTTTTAGCGTGCTGGGTGTGGAGCCATCCAAAGGGATTTCTCATTGCTTTGCAGCCTGCTGAATTCTGTAATCAGACTTGTTTAAGGAATGGCCTTAATTATTTTACTCTCCCCCTTGAAATTTTAGATTTTATTACAAAAATGTTGCTGACAATGACTACGGTTTGCTTGGTTTCTCAGTGCATCTGGAATTGAATATTGTAGTGATTTCAATGTGTGCTTTGTCACCCCCTAGGAAACCCAGGTTGACGAGAACTCAAAGTGCCTTTTCTCCGGTCTCCTTCAGCCCCCTGTTCACAGGTAAGGGTGATGGCTTTTTTCTAGTGTGTAAAAGCAGCGCTGTCCTGAGACCTGTCAGGAAACGCTGACAGATGCACCTCAGAGGGAGCTTCAGGCCTGTCCGCAGTTATTTTCTTCGTTCCGTGCCTGCTGGGTTTGGAGGGAGGCTATTTTTACGGCGTGGAATGTGTTCTTGACTTCGGATGCTTTATAGTTTTGAGTAGTGACGGCTTGCCGGTAATTAGGTGGCCCTGGCAGTTATGCAGTGCTCAGTTCAGGGTCATCACATATAAATTAAGAGGAGGAATTACAAATTTATAGGTTCGCAGTGCATGGAGGACATTCAGTGCCTGTCCCTGCTTCCACGGGAGTTCATGCATTGTCTAATAAACCTGACCCGTGGTTATCCGGTCTATTTTTAAAGACTTTGGGCAAAGGGGATTACATGAACTCTTGTCTTACCCATTTTAGGGGCTGGCAGTTCTTGCAGCTGTTTGAGTTCTTCATTATATCTAATTTAAGTCTCTCTCGCAGCAAGGAGGAACACAAGTTACTAAAGTAGGAAAGTGGTTGAATGTCGTTTGGGCAACTGCCTCCTCTTTAATGAGGAACTCTTTCAGAAACGGAGACCTTTTGTTACGTCAGTCGGACGTGAAGCTCCCTTGCGAATGAGCTGTAGGAAAGAGGGTCATCAGCGCACCGCCGGAGTCTCACAGCTGAGTGCTCACTGGTTGTGGCCGAGAAGCCTCTGAAAAAAAATCTCAGTTTCAAACTCTTTTGGTATTGTGTCCCTCAAAAAGATGGTTGCAAGAATTATGATTAGGGAATAGACGTTTTCAGAAGCTGTGAAGTCGGCTGGTGGGACCCCCATTACTGCAGAGGTGGCGCTGAGCCATCAGAACAAGTGAGGCAGGGCTTGTGATGGGCACGGGTGGGGACGGAGGTCTCTGTTCTTGGCTCAAGCCCAGAATTAAGGAATCTGATCCTCTGGCAATATGTCTTTCTCGTGAATAATTGTTTCCTTTCTAAAGTAAGGAACGCCCACATTTGTAGTGTTGGGCTTGGTGTTACTGTTTCAGGCGGCCTTAGCCCTTTTGAATTGCAGGTTTTTGGGGAGGTGCCGCACCTGCAGGCCAGGCCTCGCTGGCCCTTCAGGAGCCACGCTTGTCTGGGCTCATGGCGTCGGTCTGCAGCGCTGGGCTCTCAGTTACAGAACTGTGTGATGAGTGCAGCTTCCTAGAACTTCCACTGATGACTTTGGGAAGAGCTTTTCTGCTTATCTTAATGAGTGTTCAAGAACTTTTTAAAAAAATGTTTATTAGATTCTGAAAGCCCAGCTCCAGACCTTTTAGAGACATTGGTTTCTATTTATAATAATAAAATCTAGCTGAGGGGCTAATTCAAATTAGCCTCCTGAATAAAAGGTGTTGGAAATAACACCCTCCAATTAGAGAAATCCTGAGTTTTCACCTGTGGATCAGACCTTCCAAAACAAATCTATTTTAGGCTGTCGATTGTAACTAATAAACTACCCTTCATCCTCAGGTGACTCTGTGGAGAGGGGGTGGTTGGGGCTGGGAGACAAGAAGAAACATTCGTGGCAGAGGACAGAACTGTATGACAGTCTGGGAACCAAAGAGAAACCACGTGCCATTCCCCTCCGCTCCCCCATCAGGTTCCTACCAAGAAGCTTCCTCTAAGCTTTCCTGGCTAGGCCGACTGTGGAAGTCGTTAATTGTTAGGGTTGTGAATGCACTTTTCAACCTCTGGAGCCTTAGCTGTTAGGAACTGGTTGATATCTGAAATTGGTTCTCTTGTGACTGAACATTTAGGACGAAGTTGGGGCTAACACTGGGACCTTCATTTGCATTCAGTGTACCCTACAGTTCTTACATTTTTCTGGCACTCTGTCTTCCCCATGTCCATTTGGCTTGTTACAAGCTGCTTGCCTTGTCCCTGAAGGCAGACACTGGTGTACACGTCTGAAAAATAAATGGTGTGGTTCCCATTTGAATGAATAAGACCTCTCGGTTAAGGTTATATTGTCAGTGGCAAAACCACAATTAGTACAATTAGTTGACCTTTCCACTGTCAAGCTGTGTTTTTGTCCTAAAGAATCCTTGATCGTTAACTGGGCAAGGAAATGGTAAAGTTGAAAATTGACTTCCTAGATTTTAGAGGGGATTCCAGCCCTGGGAGCATTAGGTCTTGAGTGTTTTGAGACCCATGGACCTCTGACTTGCTTGCTTGCCCTTTGCTTCTCTGCGGTCTGGCCTCGGCTCTGGGCAAGGTGCTCTCTAACATGCCTGCTCCGTGAATCCCTCAGGTGAAACAGTGTCGCTTGTGGACGTGGACATCTCTCAGCGGGGCCTGACCTCTCCGCACCCTCCAACTCCCCCTCCTCCTCCAAGAAGAAGCCTCAGCCTCCTAGGTACAGTCTCCTCCCCTCGGCCCTCTTGCCCTCGTGTGGGGGGAACTCTGCGACCTGTTGTTCTTTGCTAGGAGCCAGACGCGCTCCTGGGTTTCTAATGATGAACCTATTATTTCCTTCCCTTTCTCAGCACCCTGTCATCCCCCTAAGCAGTTGAATAGGTCTCTCACCTGCATGCTATTTATTACAGCCTTTACTATCCATGTGTTCATTAGATCTGGATTTATCTTGCCCTTAATCTACAGCTAGTGGGCTGCTTTAGGAATATCCTTACTTTCCTGCTTTCAAGCAGAGGAAAGCAGGTTAAGATGATTGTTGCCCTTTGTGCAAAAAGACAGGGTGAAGGTTGGGCCATCTTGCCCCAGAGGGCAGCCTGGTGATCCTTCTCCCTCTCCTCTGCTCCACCTTGCTCATTCTGTGCTCATATTTCTGAACCTTTTGCTTTTGTTCTCTCTTCTAGATGATATCAGTGGGACGCTGCCTACATCTGTCCTTGTGGCTCCGATGGGGTCTTCCCTGCAGTCTTTCCCCCTACCTCCGCCTCCTCCACCCCATGCCCCAGGTTAGCTTAGCTGAGAGGCAAGACTTGCAAGAGTCGGGAGCACAAAGTAATAAACTTTTGAAGGATGGGAGAAATCTATTTATGGAAATAACAGAACTTAGGGAAAGCTTAAATTTTATCCCCTTGGCTAGACCAGAACTCCTTGGAAATGAGGCCAAGAACTGATTTTTCTAACCCGTTTTATTTATGGAGTTGAATCTGATTTTTGTTAGAAATAAAAGACTATTTAATTTTTTTGTCTTTTTGCTGCTGAGACTTTTTTAATCCTTGAGTAGACGTCACTGAGGAAACTGCCTTAATTTCAGGATAGCGAGCAGGTTTAATATGTTGCTGGTTTTCAAAGTTCTGTGTTTTTTCTAAACTTTTACTACTGACTGCAGCCTTGTAAATAAGTACCAAGCGTTTAGTAGCCCACACCCGCTTTGCCGGCCTCCAGTACCCAAGGAATAAACTGAGTGGAATCGGCATTCTTTTCTACTTGCTTGGCAAAATCGTTACACTTCCTGGGCAAGTAAGCGAGTCACTATTTCCAAGGCTGCTTTACCGGCACTTCACCTCGAGGTGGGAGAAGTTGGAATCGCTCTAGGCTGGTGAAGGCCCTGAAGTAGTCACCTTAGTCAGGTTAGTGAGCAGCTCCCCACCCCTTCCCGGGGTTCAGTGCCCCCACCCATCCTTCACAGCTTACACGAGCCCACACAGCTTTTTGTTCCAGCCCATCCAGCTTTTCCCCACTGCTTTGGCTTCACCCTTTCCAGCTTAGCTTCTAACACCTTGCCCCTCTTCAGTTAGCATCTTCGTTTTGGGGGGAGGGTGTACTTCTGGTTGGGAGCACTGAGGGCAAACGAGTGACCACCACTCTCCTGCTCTGCAGATGCATTTCCCCGGATCGCCCCCATCCGAGCAGCTGAGTCCCTGCACAGCCAGCCCCCCCAACACCTCCAGTGTCCCCTCTACCGGCCTGACGCGAGCAGCTTTGCAGCCAGCCTTCGAGAGTTAGAGAAGGTAGGTGGCGCCTGAGCACAGGAACTCGCCTTCTCCCCCCTCCCCCCTCCCCTGTTCTATGCCTGGCTCCCCTTCTATTGCTTTTAGAGGAAGAATAGTTTCCTGGTCTCTATATTTATAGTGACAAAACAATATGCTACTCTTATCGGTTCCATAGATTACATTATCAAATTAAGTCTTGGGTGGGAGGGGGTGGAACTGAATGTGATAAGGAAGGGCTGTAGGGAAGTGTTTGCATAGTCGAAGCCGATTGTGGCAGATGAACTGACAGAGGCCCCTCTTCTCTTCTTTGTAGAAGGGCCTTGGTAATGGAATTGTAGACTTAGTCTTCTGTAACTTTGGAGGGCTAAAAGTATAATGAACCTGACGTTTATTGCCGGTGGTTAAGACACTCTGATAGCTTTTCCCCACTGAAATGCTTTGGAAGTGAAGGGTTCTCCTGCAGTAAGATGGACTGTGTTGAACCTTCTGACTTTCCTCTGTTCTGTTAACCACTTGACCCCTTTTTATCTTTGATAGTGTGGTTGGTATTGGGGACCAATGAATTGGGAAGATGCAGAGATGAAGCTGAAAGGGAAGCCAGACGGTTCTTTCCTGGTACGAGACAGCTCTGATCCTCGTTACATCCTGAGCCTCAGTTTTCGATCCCAGGGAATCACCCACCATACTAGAATGGAGCACTACAGAGGTAAGAGGTGCTGGTGTTGGAAGGAGGCCTTTCTCTGCCTTTGCTATTTGACTTTTTCATGGGAAGAATTCATAGAAATGGAAGTGTGAGTAGGGGAAAAAATCTCATAGACTTACTTGAATGCTAATACGAGCACTGGTTTCAGCCACTAGAAGAACAGTTGGCAGGGGTAGGGAAGAGAGTCAGGGTTCCTTTTAAAATTTATTCTCAGCATCTTATTTCCCAAACAGAAGGGCCTGAACAAGACTGCTGAAGAACAGAACAAAGCCAGTAAAACTCTATAGAAGGAAAAAATAACCTAGACAAGTTCTCCCAAGCTTTATTCATAATTAGCATCTAGAGATACTTTCTATTAAATCATATACGAAGAGGAGAATTTAGTGTTGATTCTGTACTGTTCTGTTCTGAGTTCTTTGCCTGACAGTCACATTAGCTTTTCTGCCAGTCCGCACGATGATGATAATTCCTTTCTTGGTCAGCTTTGTCGTCTCTTAGGAAATGGTCATTAGAACTCAGAGAGTTTGTGGAATCGACATGCTTTAGACTGCCTGTCGGCCTCGCGGGTGGCACCTCCTCCTCTGTGGTCACGTTGTGCTCAGGGCTGCCATAGTATCTAGGACACGGCTTGTTAAACACACACTTCACAGCAGGGCATCCTCTACGTGACACGGGCCAGACACTTGTGATGGGCCTTGGCCGTGGGGCTGGGTGATATATCATTTGTTGAAATACCTGCACATGCTATAAATTGTAAAGGTATAGAGAACTTTGAGGATTTGGGGGACTTGCCTCTCCCATCCTGTACACTCTTCTCACATATGATCGCCTTAAATGTGCTGTATTGGACATTCATCTCAAGTGATAGTCCCTTTCACGCTCTCCTGAGGCACCACCATGTCTTTCTTGCTCTCAGCCATGCTCTGCTGAATTTATTTGATTTGCTTCTCTCATGAGGCAGGAAGTGGCTGTTAAGGTCAGCATAGCTTTGTCCATGGTCCTCTGCTCCCACTTCCACCTTAGAGATGCATGAAGAGAAAGGAACTTTAGTCTGAAGACCTGAGAGTTAGTTAGGCAGCTGTCTACCCTATGGTTATCTATTTCCCTGCTGTTCCTAAAAGCAAAAATCAAACAGACAAACAAACAAACAAATGGAAAACAAAGCATTTCAGAGTGAAGTATTTTTATAAACCTATTAAAATGTTAAATGACTAGGCGATGGGAATGATGAATAAATGCTTGACCTCTGGGTTCCTGATAGGTGAGATGCCAGGAATGAGAGAGAGCTTTCAAATGGTTCTCCAGTTACTTTTTGTTCAAAGGGACTTTTCTTCCTCGAACAAGTGGAGATTTTAATAGGAGCCTTGTGGGCCTTTTAGTTGCCGGTTTGCAATGGAGCATTTGTCTTCATCTTTCTAAGTGATACTGTCAGAGCAGCTAGAGAGACTTAGACCTGCAGTTCTCCTGAGGGGTTCAGTGCCCCCTTTGTGGGTGAGTCTTTGGATTAAGAGCTTTAGTCTGGGGAGTTTTTCAAGCCACAGGAGTTCAAATTCCCTTTCACCTGTGGGATTCTGAAGTTTGGGGTGATCTTTGTAACGTGTGGGGTGTGGAATTTTAGAAGTTAAAGAAAAGACTTAGAATTTTTTTGTGCCCAACATATACATGAATGGGTCATACCCACAAAACTCTTCTTGTCTTTCTTCGACTGTCCTATGAGTACTTGAAGACTTAGATCTTCCTGAGGGTGATGCCATTTAAACTTGCTTTGCTATGGCAGTCTTTTAGAAATATTTTTCAGTTACAGTTGACATTCAGTGTTAGTTTCAGGTGGACAGCATAGTGATCACACATTTACATAACTTACACAGTGATGCTCCGTGGTGAGTCTAGTACCTGCCGACACCGTACATAGCGTTACAGTGTTTTTTACTGTATTCTCTGGACTGGACTGTACATCCCGTGACTGTTTTGTTAACTGCCAGTCTGTACTTCTTAATCCCGTTACCTTTTCACCCAGCCTCCCAACTCCCCTCCCCTCTGGCAACCGTCAGTCTGTTCTCTGTGTCTATGAGTCTGTTTCTGTTTTGTTCTTTAGATTCCACGTGTAAGTAAAATCATACGGTACTTGTCTCTGAGTTATTTCATTTGGCAGAAGACCCTCTTCGCCCTGTATGCCGTCACGGATGGTTACCGTTTCCTTCCTTTTTATGGCCGAGGAACATTCCCTCGTGCACGTGCACCACAGCTTTTCCGTCCACTCGTCTGCGGATGGACGCTCGGGCTGCTTCCGCATCTTGACTGTTGTAAATAACACTGCAGTGTACATAAGGGTGCATATATTCTCTCAAAGTAGTGTTTTGGGTTTTGGGTTTTTTTTTGGTATATACCCAGAAGTGAAATCATTGGATCATAGGCAGTTCTGTTTTTAATTTTTTGAAGAACCTCCATGCCGTTTTCCACAGCGTCTGCACCAATCCGTATTCCCACTGACAGTGCGCAGGGTTCCCTTTTCTGCACATCCTCGCCTACACTTGTCGTTTGTTGATTTGTTGACGATGGCCATTCTCACAGGTGTGAGGTGGTATCTCAGTGTGGTGTGGATTCGTATTTCTCTGATGATTAGTTACATTGAGCATCTTTTCATATGTCTTTTGGGCCATCTATATTTCCTCTTTGGAGAAGTGTCTATTTTGCTCCCTGCCCCCTTTTAATTGGGTTGTTTGCTTTTTTGGTGTCGAGGTGTATGAGTTCTTTATCAGTTTCTGATATTAATCCTGTATCAGATGTATCATTGGTGGATATCTTCCCCCACTCAGTAGGCTGTCTTTTCGTTTTGTTGATGGTTTCCTTTTCTGGGCCAAAACTTTTTAGCTTGAGGTAGTCCCATTTGTTTTTCCTTCTGTTTTCCTTGCCCAAGGAGGTATATCAGAAAAAATATTGCTAAAAGAAATTCAACAAGTATTTTTATATCTTTTTTTACTTAAATTTATTTTTTACTTTAACAAAAGCCTTGTAAGACTTAATGTATGCCTTATCAAAGGCAATATCTTTCTTTTCACTAATGATAGGACGAGCAGTAACAGGTGAACCAGCTGGCTTCAGGGACCTTTGTCCGACTCAGCTTCCCCATGAAATCTCGCCCTCCGAACAGTGAGAATCATGAAAATGTGCACACCAGCCTCCCAGATCTTTTAAAAATGTTCTACATTTTCACCTCCTCTTAATTTTCCATGGCAGGAACGTTCAGCCTGTGGTGTCATCCCAAGTTTGAGGATCGCTGCCAGTCAGTGGTGGAGTTCATTAAGAGAGCCATCATGCATTCTAAGAATGGGAAATTTCTCTACTTCTTGAGATCCAGGGTTCCAGGTAAGGCTGTAGTGATTATAAGATTATTTAACTTACTTGGGTATGGCCCAGTGTAGTATCAAAATGCAACGCCCCCCCCCCGCCCCCGAAAAAAAAGCCACACTTACTTAAAGCCTTTTATCCTGGCTTTTATAGCAGTGCTCTTTCTAAAGTCCAGTGGTTAATCCCCTACGCTTATACATTGATCCCTTAACCTGTTGAGGAGGAATCTGCTTCTTTGACCACATGAACGAGGAAACTGACCCTTCCTCTGAAGTCCAGGCGTCATGTGAATATTTGCACCCAGAGATGTCTCCTTGTCCCTGGTCCAGGCGTCTTACACCCACATGTGAAACAGAGGTGAGAGCAGTTGTGTCATTTCCACAGAACCAGGGAGGTAAAGAGAGTGTTCACCAGAAGGGCACTGGTAAGGGTCAGGGATGCTGAATTCATTGGCAGTCTGCTCTGGGTTTTGTCCGTGTCTTACTAAACGTTTTGTTAAAGAGCAGCCATATCCCTACCGGTGTTGAATACAAAAACTCTTCTCCACTTGGGAGAACTACGCTGGGCAGTTCTCATCCTGGCTGGTGTGGTTATACAGTCTTCCTGCCCACTGAGTAGGGAGGTGTCTGTGTAATAGCTACTGAAGTGGGGGTAGGGGTGGTGTGGAGGAATGTGCTTTAAAGTATTGGGAAAAGTATAATGAAAAGCATGTAAATTGAGGCATCTGTAAAATACAAATAGAACTTAAAATGAGAAGGCCATGCTTTCCCATTGAATCAAATTAACATTTTTAAACAAACAGAGTGCCAAGGAATTGCTCTAAAAAGAAGTTGCAGGGAGCCTCAGGCAGAACATCAGGATTGAGCCAGGTTACAGGAATGTGTTTTATAATCTCGAGATTTAAATAAGGCTTGACGGGGTGCGAACTGTGTTAATTCTCACCTCATTTAGTATTTGCCTCAGTGCTGTCAACACAGTTGGGTCTAATGCAGTTGACTTGGTTAGAGGGAAAAGTTAGAATCCCTTTCTTATAGGAATTGACTTTGCTTAGCAATTTTTAAAGTTTGTAGCTTTGGGGAGTATTTATTTAACAAACATTTACTTTGTATCTCAGTATTGAAAGTAAGCCACATTTCTGCCTTCAGAAAGCTCATTGCCTCAAAGGGGAAACAGGCGGGAAGATAAAGGCAGTAGCACAGGTTAAGTCAATACGAGGCATGGCAGTGACCAGCACGGGCAGGCCAGTGCCCCGTGGGCGAGCCAGGGAGACCCTCTCCAAGGGTCCTGGAGTCTGGGGATGTATCTCCTTGTAGAGTATTGATTCGTGGAGTATTGGACCCCTCGAGTATGGCTCATTTGATTCCAAAAGTGTGCCCTGTCTGCAGGAATTTTAACTAAGATTCTTAACATTGTTAATGGCTAGAGATTGTAATAATCGCCATGTGCCGGCTACTTTGTCAGGTTCTTCATTGACATCTCTCTAGGTTCTTTAGCTGACAGGTTGGTCTGTTATTTATGGATAAGACTATTTCCATATTGCCAGTGAGTAAACTGAGGCTGACACTCAAAAGTGAAGTTACTCTAACAGTCACTTAGCTGATCGGTGCTGAAGCCGGGTTCAGCCCCAGCCAACTGCAGATCCTGTGCTTTGTTTACCGCCGGTCTGCTGTGGGAGGAAGGAGCAGTAAGCAAATGGGAGCACTAGAGTTCGCAGAGACACATAAAGAAGACAGGGTTGTGTTTGTTAGTGGAAGGTGTCTTTCTGTGGTGAAGGCTGCAAGTAAGATATCTGTTTGCACTTAAAAGTGTAATCGAGTTGAGAAGGCAGGACAGTGAGTATTTGTCCCTGGACCCAAAGTGACCTCTCTTTGAAGGAATGGGACAGAGAAGGCAAAGCCAGGGTTCTCCTTTACCATTGCTGGCTGCCCTCCTTTGCTGGTCATAAAGGTCTAGGCATTCGGTGAGGCAATCAGAGGCAAGAATTGGTGTGGGGAGAGGGAGTCGCAGCATTTAGGTTGAGCTCTGCCATCCTGTACGAGGGGTTTCAACTTAGCCGATTTGAAAAGGAGACTCTGTTCACATTGGGATGATGATAACTGAGTGCCCATATGGGGCCAGGTATCGTTTCATCTAACCCGTACAGAATCCTTGAAAGCATACTACAGTCTCACTCTCTCTTTCAACAGATTGGAAAACTGAGGTGCAGTTTGTTGCAGAGCTAGGAGTCAAAGTCCGGTTTTCTCTGGCTCAAATCCAGAGTCGGATACACTGGCAGGGCATCCAGACTCGTGTTAAAGGGACACCAGGGGTGATAGGAGTCACAAAGCTAGGCCCATTGGGAAAGTTCTGGATGGTGACAAATAAGGAGCAGAAGAAGGAATTAATTAGAACAAGTAGAATAATTAGCATCTGAGGAAGGGACCCTTGGTAAAAGTGATGGCTCCTGAAGCTGGTTTCTCTTTACCTCTTGTCATCATAGCACCAGAATGTGGTCATAACAAGTTTGCGGTCACCGATTACATTTCATTCTGGTCCGTTTCACAGTGGTAACCTAAGCCCCTCACACCAGGCAGCAGTCTCAAAAAGAGGATGCGATCGGCTTAGCACGTTAGGGAGCATGCCCTTAGTTGGGAGAGTCTTTACCATCTGTGGAGTGCATGAAGATAAAATACTTTGTTTTTTTAATCACACTTTGAATCAGCTCGGAGGAAACCAGTCACTTCCTTTTTGTCATCATTGAGGTTATACTTGTTTGCTCAGTGGTACACCTTCCTTGTACCCCACAGTTTCTCAGTTCAGCACCATTGACATTTTGGGCTAGATAATCCTGGGCTTCAGGGAACAGTTGGTGTGGCAGAAAGACCTACGTCTTCCTGTCTTAGACCCGGAAGAGATTTCTCACCTCTACCCTGGTCCGTGTTGGGGGAAGGAAAAATAATGAAGAAGCTGGTAACTGGATTTGTGCCCAGCACCCCTGGCATGAGGACCAGAGGAAAGTTCCCGATGATCCCTGTTCCCCTCGCCCTTTCCCTTTTAGCTGCGCTGGTGTCTAACCTTGGCTTTGTTTCCATTTTCACCCCTTCTGTTAACAGGCTGTGGATGGGAGAGCTCCAGCCGTTTGCCGCATTAGGGGGCAAACAGTAAATGGTCAGGCCGACACCAGGGAACATCAGAGAATTAACAGGTTTCAAACTGCTATTTGTGTACCTAAGGCTGAAAGTAACACCATAAAAGAGGCAAGAATGTATAGTCATTAAAATTCAAGTAGGCAATCAGATAATTGTATGCTGCTTATTCTGATCTCTTTAGGCACAAGTCCTGTAGTACTGCATCTTTGAGAATAAATAATTAGATCCATAAATTACTTTTATCTCTGAAGCATCATGTTGAATTTAGCAATATTACAGCCAATCCCCAAAAGCTTTCTGTTGGCCATAGGTTTACTCACTAAAGAATATTTTTAAAACATATGAGCAAAAGAGTAATTCAAAGAGGCATTTGGACCCAAAATAGTTTTTGAAGCCACTTGAGTTTAAAAAAAATATATATATATATATATTTTGAAATATATGATGAAATTTTATATATATATATATTAAATTTTATTTATTTTCAGAGAGGGGGAAAGGGAAGGAGAAAGAGAGGGAGAGAAACATCAATGTGTGGTTGCCACTCATATACCCTCTACTGGGGACCTGGCCCACAACCCAGGCATGTGCCCTGACTGGGAATCGAACCAGCGACCCTTTGGTGTTGCAGACTCCATCCCGCAGAGTCTGCGTGGTTTGTGGCTGAAGAGGAGAACAAATGCACAGACCACAGCAGTCCTGTGGAGAAAAAGGGACGCGGTACAGGCATTCTCTTAACATGAGAGTCCTGTGGCCACACTCTCAAGGGCAGAGCGCCCCGACCCTTGCCTGGACAGGCTTTTTTATTGTTTCTCTCGGGTCTTACATCAAAGAAGGATTTATTATCTATTACATAGATGTTGTTGTCTACATTTTAGGCACAAGCAAGGGAACGAAAATAACAAATGTTATTGGGAAAGGTGGCGAGCTGATTAGCTCTGTCCTTGGGAAAATTCACACAGGCTTTGGAAATTACCTTGAAGATAGGCAGTAAACATCTACTGTTTCAGACCAGGGTGAGGGAGTTTTAGCAAGAGCAAGCCATAACAGTCTGGATGCACTTTCTGGGCCTGGTTCCCACGGGGAAACCAGTCCGAGGGTCTGGCTCCTGCCCGCCACTTCGCTCCTGCCGGTTTCCGACGCAGGGCTGAGCCACACGTGCCATTGCCACACAGACCGGTTCCCTGCAGTACACTCTGGTTCATAGGCCGACGCTCAGTCCACTGAGCCACACCAGCCAGGGCAGTTTAAATATATTTAAAAGAGAAATCCATGTTTGAATTCTTGTCTTTTAAATGCTGTGTGAGGAGAGGGCTGATCACACGGGTGGAGTGGGGCTGCCGCGCTGCAAATGTAAGCCTTCGGTTTGAAAGGGCGGAGTGAGCAGGGGAGAACTGGAGGGCCGGAGAGGCCGGCCAGGAGTCGAGGTGCGGTGGGTGTCCTGCAGAAGACCCCTGGGAGGTTCCCAGGCTAAATAAACTCTCCCTCGGACAGCAGGTGTTGGAGGCAGGACAGCCTCGTTGGGTCTGTGCTGTCAGCACGTTCTCTGAGCCCAGTGGGCCTCAGTTTCTGCCTCTGTGAAATGGAGGATGATGGTGATATTTGTCTCAAAAGTATAGATTTGAAGACTAAATGAATTAAATGTTTTTCAGGTAAGCCTGTTTGCTTAGTAGCAGTGTAATATGTATTTCAATTTTTTTTTTTAGATAGTTGTCAACCATCATGAAGAGGCTTTGGGAGGCACTCTGCAAGCTCTAATTTGTTTCTTCTCATGCTTTGAAACAAAATTTTAAAACTTTGAAATCAAACTTAAAAAATAATAGGTGTTTTATTTTTCAACAAATTGTGTCTACAGGATTTCTTTTGCTAGAACAATGGCTGAGGAAAAATTTTTTTCAAAGATTTTGCAACTCAGATTCTTTCGGAGAGCAGTTTGCTTATTTACTTTCCATAACCCCTTTGTGTATTGAGACCAGGGTGCTCTTTGTTCCTTTGAACCTGTGTCAGGGTCCCTGCCGTTCTGCGGGGGCTGGAATTTCCCAGCCCAGAGCCTGCTGCTGATATCGATGAAACATCAGGGTGTGGGGCTCCCACTGGGCCCGGCTGGCATCAGGCCGCAGGCCCTCGTGCACCGAGCAGCACTAATTCTGGCTTGCCCAGGCTACTGTAGTTGCTTTCCTTTCAATAGCATCATCCTCGTCTCGGTTCTCGCACCCAGTCTAAAATTTCAGAAGCAGGAAGGGGGGTTGGGGGTGAGCAATAAGAAGTGGCTAGACCTGCTTGTCCCGGCTGGAAGTACATGGCAGGAGTGATGGGCCTGGAAACTTGGGTCCCGGCTGTTGCCTTCTCCTTATGAGCCTCTCAGTTGGAAGTTGGTGGGAACCCCTCTGAACAGCCTTTCCGAGTCCTCGCCTTCAGGATACTGCTGCGTGGGCCAAGCAAGTATTCCCATTCCTGGCAGGGGCGCCTTCTATTCTCACCCTTCCCTGAGAGCCTCAGGCCTGCGTTTGGCCACTTGGCTCCCAGCGAAGTCTGTAGCTTGGCATTTTTCTTTGGACTGTTCGGAATAGCAAGGCTCTCAGCTGTTAATAGTGATGTTAGGCCCTGACTGGTGTGGCTCAGAGGGTCGGGCATCCTCCTGCAAACCTGATGACATTGCCAGTTCAATTCCCAGTCAGGGTGCATGCTTGGGTTGCAGGCCAGGTCCCCAGTCGGATGGGGTATGCAGAAAGGAAGCAGCCGACTGATGTTTCTGTCGCACATCGATGTTTCTCTCCCCGTCTTTCTCTCTCCCTTTCCCTCTTTCCAAAAAATAAATAAATAAAATCTTTTTTTTTAAAAAGCACGATGCCAGGGAGGCCCTTGGCCGGGAAGAATAGATTCTCTTGAGTGAAATGTGGCCGTGCTGCATCTGCAGGTGGAAGTCAGCAGTCCTTTGGGGAAGAAAGCGCTTGCACAGAACCCGTGGATGAACTGTAAAGAAGCCCATTTCCTTTGCCTGGACTCTCTTCCTAAGGGAAGTTGTAGTTAGCTACATTGTTCCCTCTGAATGTTTCTCTCATTCTTGAAGGACTGCCACCAACTCCAGTCCAGCTGCTCTATCCCGTGTCCCGATTCAGCAACGTCAAATCCCTCCAGCACCTTTGCAGATTCCGAATCCGACAGCTCGTCCGGATAGATCACATCCCGGATCTCCCACTGCCCAAGTACGATGCGGTCTTCAAGGTGGGGGCAGGCGGGAGGGTTGGTTACAGATGTCGGTGAGGCTTGCAAGCCAGTTGCACAGGCAGAGCCTGGCAGTGTTCACAGGCATCCTCCTTTCCCTTCTCCTGTGTCTTGGCACCTACCTCTACAACTGTCACATTGCAGCCAGAAGGGAAGCAGGTGTGTGTGTGTGTGTGCGCGTGTGTCAGCCTCCCTTCTGCAGTCTCTACAACGGATGGAGGGGAGGTGACAGACTATGTAACAAGTGAGAAAATGGGAATTTTGTTAGGGCAGCAGAGTCTTTGGTGTAGTCTCAATCACATAGGGACTGAGAAGAAGGAAGATTGAACGAAGATGGTCTTTTATAATCTATGTGAATGACACTGTGTGCGTATCCCTCTTGTGTTTTTTACAGACCTCTGATCTCCTATATTCGAAAGTTCTACTACTACGATCCTCAGGAAGAGGTGTACCTGTCTCTAAAGGAAGCGCAGCTCATTTCCAAACAGAAGCAAGAGGTGGAACCGTCCACGTAGCGAGGGGCCCCTGCTGGTCACCATCAAGGGTATGAACTTTCTGCCTCTCTGCTCAGCCATGCCTCTTCCTGCGCGGTTGTTATCGTGCATGGGCCTTGTCCCGCCACCCCATGTGTATGCCCCTGACCCAAGCATCTGTCCACAGTTACCACATCTGATGATGGAGTCCCCAAGGGGCACCCCAGTTGGAGAAGAGCAGAGAGACAAGGGAGGCTTAAAGAGTATTTGTGAAGCAACGTGCAGGCTAACCACTGAATATGACGAAGGAGGACACACACACGTAGTCGCTGAGTGTGTGTGGCCTTCTCTCATACTTTGGCTGGTCCCCCTGATGTTGCACAAGTGACACGCAAAGCCAGCAACCGGAGTGGAAGGAAACTTCCTCAAAGGAAGCACAAACGGGCCTTAACTGCAGTAGGCAGGCACTTCGGCGAGAGCTCCACTGTGCCCCGTGGCTGGAATGGGGGATGCGGAAAACAGCTCACTCTTCCCTTTGGAGTCCCATTGGGGCTCTGAAGTCAGTTGTTCAATAGAATAAGTGAATTAACTAAGGAATTCATTTATCTGAGAGGCTATCTTCCCGTTGCCACACTGAGTCTATTTATTTACTTTCCCATAAAATCTTGTGGAATACTGATTTGTGCAGATGGATTGTAATTAGTCTTTTAAATTTCATTAACGTGAACACTGGAAAGTGGAGGCGAGTGAGGAACAGGATTGCCACAGAGCAGTGACTTCAGGAGTGCGGGTCGGTGTGCAGACCTCGCATTCAGGTGCGTGGGTGCAGTGGCGCCCGCCCCATCTTTCCTCGGTGTGGAGTTTCCTCATTAAGCCCTGAATACTTCCGACCTCTCTTCCCTAGTCCCAATCCCCATAAAAAACAAGGAGAAAAAACCACAAGTGCAGCCACCTTAGAGAGGCTTCAGTAGCTCCACCCTCTCTGCTCTCTCCGCAAGGACAGTGACAGTTGGCGTACATGTCCCAGGGGCACGGCTAAGGTGAACCCGCTCTTGTGTCTCCCCCTGACTCCGGAAGCCTTCAGCCCTGTGTTGGCAGAAGGCACAGGAGGGGAGTGCACTAGTAACGGTTAGCCAAGGGAGAAGGAATGAAAAGGAGAGATCAGCAAATGGTAACTCTGGAAGGCTGTGGGGTTTTGGCTTAAAGGATCCTGGGTTGGATGTACAGTATCTTAGATCTTCAATGATATGCAAATTGTATGTCCTCAGAAGTGTCTCCTAGAACATCTAAAAGCCTGAATGTGTAGTAGCATTTCTCCGCTTGGTGGCTTTGTGGTTGAGGTGGGGGTGGGAAGGCAGAAGAGAAACAGGAGGCCCACCTGCCCGACCGCACCCTTGAGGAATAATTGGGGCCCTTTGGTGAGAGCCTGTTCCTGCAGGTGCTGCGCCGGGGTTTGGGGGGGGTGTTACGTATGGCTGGGAGCACCTTCAGAGAAAGGCCCGGGCTGGTGGAGGGTTCCAGACTTCCTCACTCGGGAACAAATGGTGTGACCGGGGAAGTCTGAGGGCGGGAGGGGCCCGATGGCTCAGAGACAGACGTGATGGGTTTTCCAAGGACGAGTGTGAACGCATTCGGTGTGGGCCCGGTGGGGTGGGAGGGGGTCCACAGTGGGTGTGAGTTATAAGGATTTAGATTTTAGTTCAGCTTTAGCAGGACCTTTCTAACAGAGAGGCCCAAAAGCGGAATGGGTTTTCCACAGGAATTGGTGAGCTCGCCATTTCTAAGTTCGTGCAGCAGATAGGTGTCTCTGTGTAGAGTGTGGGCGTGCACTGGGAACGGAGGGCTGAGCTGGTCGCCCAAGCCCCGTCCCACTGAGCCGCCCTTCTCACGGGAGAGACAGCCGGCGAACACGTGACTAGGGCACAGGTCAGTTTCAGTCGCCTGTCCGTGTCATGAGGAAAGTAAAACTAAGTGAAGCTTAGTGATCAGTGGTGGGATGCCACTCTAGTTTAGATGACCAGGGAAGGCTCCTGTGAGGAGGTGGTAACAGTGCAGCCGACTAAAGATCCTGGAGTCAGCCGTGAAAGGACCTGGGAGCAGAGCATTCTGGGTAAAGCTCCTCTAAGTGTAGAGGCCCCGCGGTGGGAAGGAGCACGACACGGTCAGGGACAGGCTGGGCTTAGCCACGTGTTGGCAAAGGACTGAACTGAACTCCCAGGGTCTCTTCTCACTGTGGCCCTGGCCTTGTTGCCTGTGTCAAAGAAGGAGCATCATGCTGTGCTCATCCTCGCTCCTGGCGTAGGCCCTAGGACCTGTTGGGAAAGGGAAGTAACGCTTCGCAAGGGAAAGATCTTTAACGGGTAAAATGTGGTCATTATGACTTCTCGTTGGTCAGACCGACTTGAATTTGGGAGTTCTGAGTGGACCGCTTGGTCTGTTACCTAGACAATTCATGCCAGGGTGTTTGGGGTGTAACAGCTTCAATCAGAAGGTAGAAGCCGCACAGGCCTTTGTGGTTACATATCAACCCTCTTCAATAGCCAGCAGCTGCAGAGACCTACAGCTCCTTCTAGCCGTGTTCTCAAGGGGTCACTCCAGGGCCTCAGCTCCGTTTTTAATCCCTAGAGCAGGTGAGCCTCGGGGAGAAGTGGGGTGGGGAGGAGAGGTGGAAAGTTAAGGGGTAAGGGGAGTGGGAAGAGGAGTTAGGCAGTGTGGCAGGGTACAGTTATTTTAGAACCTTTTCTTGGTGTCCGGGTTGTGGCCTGCTCAGGCCTCCCGACAAAGGCTGCTGCTACAGTGTTCGTGGAAGCGATTGGCCAGCCAGACTCCATTCTCCTTTTGAGCTGCACCCTAGAGGCTGGGCTGTGCTTTCACTCTATTTTGGTTCCACTCTGTTGAGCCACTCTGATTTTTCTCCCCTAGGCATGTGGTTGCCAAGCTCCGGTTTTAAAGAACCAGATGAAGGTGCCGTGAAAAGAGAAGTGAGAAAAAAACAAGAGGAAATGGGAAGGGCTGGGACCCTCTGCGCAGAGACTTGGGTTCCCCTGGCCACCCCGGGCTGGGAAGAAGCACACGACCGTCCTCTCCGAGTGAGCGGGGGCCCCACCTTTCCCAGCCGGCACCTCTGGTGTCCCGGAACTGGGCGAGCTCCCGGAACACTGGAAGAAGTCTCAACACTGTTCCCTTTTCACAAGTTTTGTTTTGGATATTTACATTTCTCGGTGTGGAAAACTCGCCAAGGCAGCTGGGGTTTATGCCCCCTGGATTGGAAGTGGTGTGAAGGGTGAGCAGGTCCAGAGGAGGTGATGGGCTGGGGTGTGGGGGGCGGGTGGGGCATCGCCAGTGCCTAGCCGGTCCCGCAGCTGGTGCCAAAGGCAGGGTGCAGGTTTCACCGTTGACCTTGAAGAAGGGAAGGGAAGGGGTCAGAAGTGCAAATTAAGTGAGAAGTTTCTGAGGGACGAGAATCTGCTTCTCTGTAAGCATGGGTAGCTTCAGTAGGAGCGGGAAGGAGAAGAGGTGGGTGGCCTCAGACTACTGGACAGAAGCTGGCAGATGGCCTCTGCTGGGGGAAGCAGCGACTCCTCGCATCCTTTCCTTTTAAGACTTAGGAATCCGATTTCAGAATCACCTCTCATAGAAGCTGGACTTAGTTTGTTTCATTTAATTTTTAAGCTCTGTGACCTCAAGTTAGTCCCATTCTTCCCCCACCCTCAACCTGTTACCGAGGGTAACTGTCCGTTTTGCTCTGGCCATGGTAGCGTTGCTCCCGCCAGCTGTCGGGGTGGCAGTTTTTCTCGTCACCTGAGCAGTGGCACTCCTACCTTGGGCTGGCAAAGTCAGTGGAATGTGTCCCCAGATTCTAATGGCACAGCATACCCGTGACTTAGGAGTCAGTGCTGCTTACCTCCAGTGTCTGTGAGCTGGGGAGGGAGTGGGCAGAAGGTGTGAGACGAAGCTGTGTGGTTGTGCCCCTCCCAGAGGGGGCTCTCTGGCGTCCCCGCCTTCGTGAGTTGTCCTTAGGTCAGAGTGGAGGAGGGATCGCTTCTCCTGTTACGTGTGTCGTGTGTCACTGTCACCCCACTGCTGGAAGGGCAGCTAGCAAGGGCTTCTGAATTTTCTGTGTTCTTCCTGGCAGCCCAGACATTTTCCTGAGTCAGGTCCTGTTTGCCCTCCTTTCACTGGAATTGTGTCAGATGCTGAGTTCAGAGTCGCCTGTTGTGCAGATGGAAGTGAGGAGGAGGAAGGAAAGCCCCAGTGCTTTTCAATGGCCTTTAATTTTTCCTGAAGCAGGCCATTGTCAAATCATATGAGATTATGAGTTTGCTTTTCTGTAGAATTACTCTGGGGAAAGGTTTGCTATTAAGATGTGAAAATTGAGCCGTTTGGTCTTTATTACTCTTTTGCAGTAAGTGTCCCACTAGACTGCCTCTTCTCTTATGTTTATATCTGCCTCATCTCGTAAGATAAATAATACTGTCAGGCTTGCGGCTTCCTGATGGCTGGGGTGAGGCCTTGGTGTCTTGTGAACTTACAGGACTGCCACGTCGGGCATCATCGGCCTTCTGCCTCACAGCCTGCGTGGGGCGGCCAGTCTTCCTCCTCGCAGCTGACCAGGGAGGAGCTGGCACTGTCACTGGCCTCGGAGCAGGTGGTCCACAAAGTGAGCTGTACGCCGTAAACACAGCCCGCCTCTGGTTTGCCAGGAGGCACCTCTTCTGTCTTTGGCTTCCATGGCATGACCACCATTTCAGATTTTGATCCCAGAAATTGGCTTAACCTGTGAGTCTTGCCTCTTGAGGGAGCAGATTAACTTGCCACTCTGCAGAAAGCGCCACCCCCGCCCCACCCCGCCCCGCCCCGCCGTGGTAGAGCCTGAAGCTGGAATCCGTTGGGATCCTTTGAGTGGCTGATGTGTGGGTACCTGGCATTTTTATTTTTTAACCATTTTTGCTACCCAGAATTTAAAAAATATTTTTAGTGTGTGTTTGCCTGGCTCTGGGGTAGACATTATGGAAATGCTAGAAGCAGAGGACGTGGCGTCTGGCCTTCAGAGGCGTGGAGGTGACGGCCGCACGTGAAGCCTCAGGGGGACGACTCCGTGCGGCAGGGAGCCGGGCCGCCTGGGCAGAAGTGCAGAGTGGGCGAGGTCAGGGTGGGCCAGACGGTGCAGGACAGCTCTGAGGCGGGGCGGCTTTGGGTTGTAGGCAAGGGCAGGGCCATGAGTTGAGGAACACACGAAGCAGAAGCTTTCAGGCAGGAATCCGCACGGTATATACTTAGAGTGCACACCCCCGAGTTGGAGCAGAAGCACTTAGAATCCATTTTCAGTGCGGGGGCCGAGGCTGAAACTTCTGAGTCACTGGGCACATCTGAATGCTGAGGGCTTATGATGGTGAAGTGGAGTCCGAAGCCAGAAGTCAGCCTGGTCCTGCCCATGGCCGAGGACCTCACTGCTCCCAGTGCAGCCTGGGTGAGCGAGGCAGAGCCCCGGGCCCCGGTGGTACCAGGTTTCCATGGGAAAAGTCCTGCACTCGGTACTAATCCAAACCCACTGAGGTGGCCCAACCGCACCCCTGTCCTCCTTGTGTCTCCTGGGAAGGGTGGTGGCTACCTGTGTCCGTGATTTCTCCATGCTTCAGTCACAGCCTGGGCTGCAGCCTGGTTTTTCTCAGCAGCGTGGGCTGCAGGACAGAGTTGTGCAGGGGGAGACAGGCCCCTCGGGGGCTGTGGCGGAGGTGCCAGCCTGGTCACAGAAGAAACGGAGCCGGAGCAGGTAGCCTGTGGTCAGCACTGCCCTTCATCTCCCCTGGCTGGGCCCACCCTCTCTGCTGCCAGTTCTGTGCTGTGCTCTGCTCATTGGGCTGCAGTCTACGTAGGGTACTTACTCCTTCTGGATTATGTTTTAAAGTCACGCACTGGAAAGGGTCCTCACCCCTCACTGACTTCTGAGCTGCGGGCGGATGAAGTTGGTGCCCTCCGTCCTTGCCTGCGTGGCCCTCGCTTGGCTGTGGATGAGCTGCTGTAACTTCCCTCGGGACGGTGTGAACCCCTGTCAGCTGGTGACGACTACTACTACCACTGGCCGTTACTTGAACTTGTGGAGGAGCACAGGAGTAAGGAGGGGAGGAGCTTTGACATAGGGGCCGGGTAAATGGGGGACAGCCGGGAGTTCGGGGCCATGGGCCGTGACCTGGGCTCGTGGACAGCCTGTGCCTCGAGGTGGTGAATGCACAGTCACCGAAACGTGATCCGGGGCCTGCAGCCACCGGCCTCCTGTGAAGACTGGCATGCCGGGGAGCTCTCTGCCCGGTCGATAGGCCTCCACCTCCTTTCCCCCTTTTCACGTAGCTGGTTGTGTGGTCCCTATTAAAGTTGGAGATGATGTTGAGAGAGCTACAGGCCCCCTACAGTGCACACCCAAGAAGAACCAGGGAACAGGGAGGGTGGTTAGTGGGCCCAGATCCGGGTGTGAGAGACGAGTGCAGCTGGATGCCCTGGGGGCCAGCCCCTTCAGGCCTCACCCCAGAGCCCCAAGGAAAGCAAGGCCTGCTAGGAGCCCTCAGGGCTCAGCAGGGGGTGGGGGTGGGGGGAACTTTCACCGTGGGTTCCTTCTGTCCCGGCCCTGCCGCTTCTCCTGTGGCCGAGGGCCCTGAGGTAGGTCGGGGGCCTGGCCGCCCGGGTGGAGCGCCGTGGCTGCTGGAGGGCGGGCGGGAGTCGTGTGCGCCCCTGTGCACGCGTCTTCGCTCGCTGAAGTCTTACCGCCAGTTGGGTGTGGAGAGCATCTCCACTGGGGGACACTTGCCATTTGTTTTCCACTTTTAGAAGAATGACATGCCCCCTGTCCCTAAGGGAGGAGCTGTTGAGTTAGACATTTTCCCTATGGGAATCCTCTTGGTTGTGTCTGTGGGAAAGGGGGGGCGGATAAATGATTTTTATCTCTTAATTGTCAACACAGCTGTTCTCACACTGAATTTGTGCTATTGCATACATGTAGCCATCTTTCTTTTCACTGCAGCAGTGTTTATCAGTAGTTCAAAATGATTTATTTACTCCTGGGGAGTAAAACCTTTTTTATTAAAAAAGAAAAAGAAAAAAAATAAAAGTGTGACCCCCCCTTCCCCCCATGATCGCTATGGGATTATTGGGCCGCAAAGCTCAAGAAGGCAGAGACAAGTCCGCCAGTCTCCACGTCTGTCCCGGTTCGGCGTGGGAGCCTTCTGGCTTGGCGCAGGATGACGGGAGGCCTGGAGGAGGCGCAGAGCAAAGCCGGGGAGGAGTGCGGCGGGCTGGACCGCGGAGACGGAGACACTGGGGGCTCAGGTGCTGCAGTTAGGAAAATAGAATAGTTAATTGTATTTCAAATATTGGCTCTAATCTGCCAGGGAAAGATCTGTCTTTACATGCAGATTCACGTTGTCTTTGCCCTTTTCACCCCTTCCTGACCTTCCTGGTAGGTGCTGTCGGTTTCTTGCTGTTCCCTTCCCGTCCTTGCTGCCCCTTCTCCACCCCTTCGCAGTCCCATCTACCTCCCGGAAAGCCAGTCCTGCATGCCGAGTCCGCCACGCGCCTTCTCACCCGCTTCATCTCACTTAGAGGGTACCTGGAACTGCTCCCCCACCATGCCAGGAGGCATCAAGGGGCAGGCGACAAGCAGCCAGCCACAGTGGGAGGACACGAATGTCTGGTTGCAGCTGGACTGCGATCGTAGTTGCTCCTGGGGACAGAGTGCAAGGCGAGCTCAGGACACTCTCGACCGGACCCAGGATACTCACATACCGCACAGCTCTGCTCGGAACTGCGTCCTAAGCCCCCTGCCCAGCTCAGGTCGAGTGGGATGGCTGGCCTGACTGACCCTGGTGCTCCCCTGAACAGGGACCTGCCCCTCAGTTAGGCCCGGGACCTCTTGCAAGGGACAAGCATAACCCAGGCACCACTCTGGGTGGGCCGGGCACTGGAGCGCCCGTGCCGGTGCTGCCCGTGGCACAGCCACTGCTGTACATTTCTTGGTTGTTTTTCAGACACACGAGAGGGGTGTCGCTCTGGGCTCAGGTGGCTGCCCAGAGGGGAGCCACACCCCCGGCAACCACTTCTGTCCTTCAGGCCCCCCCTCCCCACCGCCCTCCAAGCCAAAGCGTGGCCTGGCTTTTACCTTCCCATTTAGTTTTCCTCCTCTCCCCTCCCTTTTTGTGCTTAATTTATTAAAATAGTTACTGTATAATTTATTTTCATAAACTATAAAAAATTACTAAATGGTTAAAATAGACTTGCAGGCCAATCTTAAATGGGGTGGGAGGGCCTGAGGGTGGGGTGGGGAAAGATGTTTTGATATAAACAAAACAGATGCACTTTGGGTGTGTTTTGGTATTTTTCTGGGGCTAGCGGGGCGGGCATTGGGAGGTCCCTGTAGACTAGTTCCAGAGCGGGGTGTCTGTACATATTGTATCCATAGGCATGTTTGACTCGTGCAGAGGGGCACTCGTGGCCGCCACAGGTCCCGTTCGGAACCCCCGTGCCAGTCCCGGTTTTTGTAAGTGTCCGTGCGGGAGACCTTTGGCCCTTGTGTTTGTATCTCCTTTTTATGATCGCTGTACTGACTCATGTCTTTTTGGGGAGGGGTGAAAAGAGATTTGAAATAAAAATGTTTAGAAATTACTTCACGTTCTCTAGTGTGTGTTTTCTGGTCCCTTCCCCCCTTTTCGTAGGACTCCTCACACCACACCCCTTGGGCCAGGTGACCCCGCTCCTAGGCACTGGGGACCCCTGTGTCCTGTGTCATCAGCACAGCCAGAGGTGCGGAAACACTCCCGAGTCTGCTGGCCGCCGCCCAAAGCTACCTTCTTCTTCCTTAGGAAGTGCCGAGTGTGGGGGGCGGGGGCGAGTGGGGGGGGCGGGGGTCCCGGAGAGCTCTCTGGGACCCAGCGCCTGAGCCTGTGGGCCTTGGTGAAGCGGTGGCCCGGGGCTCTGCTTACGGGGGGGAGGGAGGGCTTACTTATCTCAGAACAGTCATCCCTAGCGTTGGCCGAAGCAGGCACCCAGGCTTTCGTGAGTCCAGCCTGCATCCCTCTGCCCTTCCAGCCCATTCCCTCTCGAGCTGTGTGCTCCTGGAGAGGGAAAGGCCAAGCATGTTTCTCTGACAACTGCCTGTACGTGGAGCACTCACGCACTCCCTCTTCCCCTTGCCACCCAGTCCTTTCCCAGGGTCCCCGCTAAGAGGGCCCGTACACCACGCCAGCCCATTGTGGGTCTCGTTTTGATTTTCACGTTCTGTGCATCCTCAGTGTGGGGAGCATGCCGGGTCTAGTCAAACCAGAGTCCTCAGGAGTTGCATCTCCCAGGGACCCACCGGAAGTGCTCACGGGAGATGGGGGGGGGGGTCTGGGAGTTCCTGGTCCCCAGTCAGCTCGTTCTGGAGTCCCAGGCCTGCAGCAGGGTGAAGCAGTTGTTTATCCGCATGACAGCATTAACTCCTGGGTCAAGTTTTCTTCCCTTTTGCAAGAAAAGGTGCTCCGAGCCATGAATTGTGAACAGCATTACAAGGGAAAATGCTCACCTCAGAACCAGTGACTGAGATGCTCTAGTGACCGCCAAGACACAGTCTGGCAGCCACAGGGACACCTTGCCCAGGCTGTCAGTCACGGGTGTCAGCGTGCATCCCTTTGAAAGCGGAGACCGAGGTTTTCATTACTTCACATTGGCGTCGTGTTAGTGAGGGTTGGTTGGTTTGGAAAGAGAGGTGCTAGTCCCCTCTGACCTGGGTCATAGAGCCATGGAAGGAAAGGCATTCTTTTGGAGACAGCCCCACATTAAACCACCACCTCCCCGCTCTTCCCTCCCCAAACCTGAAACCACCTGCGTCATCGCCTGTGTTCTCCCCTCAACCGCCACTTGAATTCTCCCAGAGGCTGCTCCATCTCAGTGCTTGCTCGTTGTGCCTCACTTTCTTGAATCCTATTATCAACACATGGCAGACAGTCCTGGCCAGGTAGCTCAGTTGGTTAGAGCGCTGTTCCCATACACCGATGTTGTGGGTTCGATCCCCGGTCAGGGTGCATACAAGAATCAACTGATTGAAAACAAATAGGTGGAACAACAAGTTGATATTTCTTCCCCTCTCTAAAAAATGACATTTTAAAAAGCACTTGGCAGATAGTTCCCTTTCCCATTCCTTTGTGTGTCCCCCTGAGGGAGGAGGAGATGAGAGGGAGGAAGTGAATTTTGTCTCTCTCGGTTCCTTCCAGCCCCTCCCGGTGTGAACGTCAAGTGCATAAGGATGCCCCAGTACTATTTGTGCTGCTCAGGTTCTGAAGGCCAGCCACTCCCCCCCCGCGCCCGCCCCCACATGCTCCGCCAAAGGCACAGGAGTTGGTTCTAGCCCCGATGAGGCACTAGCTGAACGGTTCCCTAATGAGGCCCCTTCCCAAGACGCTTTCAAGAGGAATTTGGACCGCCCCGTTATCCCACACACCAACCCCACTGAAGCTGTGGTTTCACCGCGTGCCCCTCCCCGACGGCCGCGTCCTAGTTTGGGCGGTCTCCCCTCTTCATCCTGACAGTTTCCCAGCTGGTCTTCCCAGTTCCCCTCCAGTCCCTCCCAAGCAATGGTGTGCTCAGGTCACTTCCTTAGCTTACTATCTTCAGTGCCTTCCAACCTAGAACAGGAAATCTTGACTCTTCAACCTGGCATTCAAGGCTGTTTCTCCTCCCCGACCACACAAACTGCACTCCAGTCACGTCGCCTGACCCCGAGTACTCAGATGGTGACACCCCCTTCTCCTGCCACTCCACCATCCCTTGACACCAGCCCCTCCACCTGTTGCCCTCTTTACCTGCGAACCTCCTGCCCGTTCTTCAAGGTTCTGCTCCCAGGTCACCTCCGGGATGTTCACCCGTCACTCCCAGCCCAACAGATGCTCTTCCCTCTATCCAGACACACGTCAAGCTGCTGGCTCGACTACGAGGGACCGTGCCCATGTCCCGGTCAGCTCCCTCCCGGCCCCAGACCTGGCATCGTTGAATAGATGCGCCAAGATGGTGGGTGAAGAGATATGAGATCACCCCCTTTCCTAGGAGTGCTGCTGGGCTTCCTTGGTCTCCAGTCAGCCAGCCTTGAACCTGGATTTTCACCTTTCACCCAGGACGACATGATGGTATGGGGCGGAGCCACTGGATGTCAGTCTGCAGAATTCTTTCAAGGGATTGACGTTTTGGTGGTTGGAGCGACGTTTTGGTGGTTGGAGTGATGTTTTGGTGGTTGGTGGTGCCATGGACCACTTCCTCTTGGTGCCAAGGGCACCAGGGAGAATGACATTGCTGTCATTGTCCTTTGGGTGGAAGGTGCTGCTGCTATAGGATCAGCAAGCTTTGTCCGGTGACCAGAGGTCACACCCAAACCCCACCCTTCTTCACATCCTGAGCTTCTCATCTCTTCTCATCCCTCGGCGGGAGGTCAAGGCCTGGCTTTGCCCCCATGCCTGAGAAACTTGGCTTTGTTTCTGGGCCTTTTCTCTGCAGATCAAGGGGTGACGGGACAGGCAGGGGAACAAGAGAGGCTAGCTGGGCTTATACTGGGAGAGAAGAATATGGGTTGGAAGGTGATGGCTGAGCTCGGGGTGGGTCGGCAGTCTTGGAGTGGGACAGGAGAATCTAGCAGCTGCTGTCCTGTGTGAGGAGTTGGTAGAGTTAATGAAGGTTTCAGGGCCCTGGCCACGGGGCTCAGTTGGCCAGAGCCACGGACGGGAGGCAGCCAGTCGACATTTCTGTTTTACACTGATGTTTCTCTCTCCCCCATTGTCTCTCAAAAAAACAATCAATGAAAACATGTCTTCAGGTGTAGATTAAAAAAAAAAAATTCTAGCTCTGTGTGGCATAGCTCAGTGGATTGAGCGCGGGCTGCGAACCAAAGTGTCGCAGGTTCGATTCCCAATCAGGGCACATGCCTGGGTTGCAGGCCACAGCCCCCAGCAACCGCGCATTGATGTTTCTCTCTCTCTCTCTTTCTCCCTCCCTTCCGTCTCTAAAAATAAATAAATAAAATCTTTAAAAAAAATTCTGGGACTTTCTCTGTGCATTGGGTGTTACCTCCTGGCACCCCTTCCCCGCAGCTGCCACCCTCCTCCTCGCCCTGGTGTTGGTGCAGGAAACGACAACAGAGATTGATATCTCATTCTTCTGGACATGGGCATATGTGTTTTTAAAAAATTAACTAACGTTTTAATTCTCATCCAGCCTGACTGGGGACCGAATCACAACCTGGGCACGTGCCCTGACGGGGAATCAAACCTGCAACCTTTCTGTTTATGGGACGATGCTCCAATCAACTGAGCCACACTGGCCAGGGCAGACATATGTCTTTGAATGGGACACCATACGTAGAAGTGACTGCGGGCCCAGCTTGGGACGTGTTAAACCCTTACTGCACCTGGAGAGTGGGCTCTGGGTCTCGTTCCTCCCCTGCTCTGGCCCCCATCCCACAACCCGGCACTGGGCCAGCACACCAAGAGATGTGCCTGCGTTTGCTGGATACAGTGGGGCAGGTCAAAGACGGGGGGGGCGGTGTGCGGGCTAGGGAGGAAGGCGGCAGTAGGGGAGGGTCCTGTGGGTGGAATAACCTTTGGCCCTGAACTGGGGGGCAACCATATGGCATAGGAACTCTCATCCCTCCCCTCCTTCTAACAGGAAGTAGTACTGGTGAGGGGATGACCCGAACGCCACGTGGAGTCTGGAAGGGAGGCAGCAGGGAAGGGTGCGGTGGTCTCAGCCAGGACAGGGGTTTCGTGAGCCTGAAGCACAGGAACAATCTTTTCAAACCTCGCACTCACCCCTAGACTAAGACGCCCTCCTACCTCTCCAGGACTGGGGTAACAGTGGGAGTGGAGAGGGTGGCGGACAACACTCAGATGCGTCTGATGGGTCCTTCGTCTCCTGCCCGCCCTACACCCACTGTTAACACTCCGAGGGAAGGAGACCCCACCCGGCATTTGCAGGTCCGGGTTTGAGCACTGGCTCCACCCCTGGCAAGTGGTGTGATCTTGGGCACTCTATTAATATTAACGCTTTCTCCGTCTGTCTCCTCGTGAAAAGAGGGGCAGCATTTTTATTTACCTCGTGTGTGAATGAAATACCCGGCACTTCTTCAAGCACTCGGTACTGTCCGCCATGAACACGGCTTATTACCATTATCAGCAGCATTTGCAGGCAAAGAACTGGGAGCTTTTGCCTTCCCAGAGGCAGAGGAAAAATGAAAAACCTTCGAAGCTTTTCAGGCTGCAGAGGTGGGTGGGCTGGAGGGAAGGGAGGGAAAAAGAGGTGGCTCAGGGCAGGGCTGCCCGGCGGGTGGGAAGAGACGGGGCGGGGTGCATTGTTGGGCTTTTTCTGCCACCTAGTGGTCTCCTCCGGGATAGGCCACCCCACTGTCCCCTCTGGCCTGGTGGTGATGGGGAGACGCTGGTCTCAAACATTCCACAGTATCTCTAGTCCTCTTCTGCAGTCCCCCTTCAATGCCGTGTCCCTTTGGGGACCCTGGCCCATGGCACATCCTCCACATGACCCTAGTGGGGAGGACAAGTCCCCTTTCTCCTGGCAGAGGGAGGCTTTTTTCCTCTTAGCTCCCAGGCAGAGTGGGGAGCTAAGGCAGACACCCCAAGAGCTATTGG